CAGCGGAGGATCCGTCGTTAGGCAGATGAATCTGCACTCTCCTTGTTCTGAAGAACTGCTCGATCTTGCTCACCAACGGATCCTCGCTAGATCTCCCTGCTTCCGCCTCGTCAACGTACACCTTCTCCAGCGTGACCATGTTGCCGTAAATCTTGATCGTGTCCCTTTCGTTCAACTCGTCCATCGTTTTAGCCAGTTTGATCTCCACGCTCCTCGCGTCTTCGGCTCTGACAGATACGATCGCTTGCAGCGCGAATATCGCGAACAATAGTTTCGCTTTCATCGTGAGGACGGCAATGTTGATCGGTTCGGTATCGAACGAGGATTTTGACTGTTTGCCCCAGGGGCAATTTTTCTTTTATACGTCGACCCGTAGACGATGGTGGGGCCAGTTTGAACCATTTGGCAAGCGACGTGCAAGGGCCGCGGTGTCAGGAATTTTAATTCCGAACGTCTCACCCACCGTCAGTTGCACACCAATCGTCTACTATGTGACGTAGCGTCTGCTACGATAGAAACTAATTTTCCTTTCCAGCGGGATCACTTTCGAGCCATTCGGCAAACACATCGTGCGCTCTTTTACTTGCGTTTGATGGCAGACGGGGAATCGGTGAAATTGAACGGTTCATTTCGTTTGGAGAGGTAATTAAGATAATTTTTGAATCGTTCTGAAAAGTGTAGAGATAGAGGAGAGTGAGAATGAGTAGGAAGAGGGATTGTGAGGATTTTAGAATTGTTCTGTGAAGCGCAGAGATAGGGAAGAACGAAATTTTTGGTAGGAACGAGTAGGAAGAGGATGGTTTTGAAGAAAGGAATTGTAGACGGCTCGTAAATCTGGGATGTTATAATCTTACTGGTTCATTCATTTATGGATTAGTATTATTATTCTGTTATGTAGATCTGGAGATTCTAGCGTTGCTCTCGTGTGCTTGGCATATATGATGATATATTGCTGAAGAATGTACCATATCGATGACAAATAACTGGAACATCCTCTGGAATATTTATGAGTCGCCAATCGCTAAAGCGTGTACCATATCGATGAAAAATAATTGGAACATCCTCATGAATATGTGTGAGTCATCCGCGCATATCTACCTGAAGACTAACAGAGACACCGAAACCTAAAAACTAATTACGTCTAAATTTGTCAAAGTAAAGCTAGTCACCTAAAGATACCCGAAGACTAATCGAGACATCGAAACCTGAAAGACCGTTTTAACTAAATTTTATTCCCGAAACGAAGCTCTCAAAGTAAAATTAGTCGCTCTAAAGTGTCTGAAAAATAATTGGGACATTTAAACCTAAAAAATCATTCTAGCTAAATTTCTCAAAGTGCGAGTTACCTGAGTATACCTAAGAGACTAATTAAGACATGAAAACCTGAAAAATCATTGTTTTTAAATTTCGTCCACGAAACGAAGCTCTCGAAGTAAAATTAGTCGCTCAAAAATGTCTGAAAAATATCGAAACCTGAAAGACCGTTTTAACTAAATTTTATTCCCGAAACGAAGCTCTCAAAGTAAAATTAGTCGCTCTAAAGTGTCTGAAAAATAATTGGGACATTTAAACCTAAAAAATCATTCTAGCTAAATTTCTCAAAGTACGAGTTACCTGAGTGTACCTAAGAGACTAATTAAGACATGAAAACCTGAAAAATCATTGTTTCTAAATTTCGTCCACGAAACGAAGCTCTCGAAGTAAAATTAGTCGCTCAAAAATGTCTGAAAAATAATTGGGTCGTCTGAACCTAAAAAATAATTGTATCCAAATTTCTGAAAATAAGACGAGTCACTGAGAAATACCTGAAAAATAATTATATCTAAATTTCTCGAAGTAAAATGTGTCACCTAAGTATACCTAAGAGACATCGAAACCTAAACAATCATTATATCAAAATTTCATCCACGAAACGAAGTCCTCAGAATAGAAGTCCCTATCAGAAGACAACCAGCAACGAAACATCACGTTTCAATAGTGAAAAGAATAAAAGGAGGCGTCGTTTCGTCGATGAACAAACGTTTCATTGTCGTGGAACGTAACAATGGCGCGAGTTTCCATCGTCGTACACCAGGAATGTTTCAACGACAGAACCACTCCCGCGTGTTTTCTCGCGGTACATCATATTCACGAGACAGCGGGTATAATAAGTTTCTCGGTGAAAATTAGATTTCCGTGTCTGTTCGCGCGTGTGACACGGAACGGCATGCAAAACCGCCTGGCGTGTCCCGAATCTGTTTTCGTTTGGTCGGAAAGAAACGGGAAGGAGCGCCGTCGTCACTGTGCAGTGTGAGAAAGAAAGAGAGAGAAATGGAACGACGAGCGAGGAAACGCGAAGGAGAAACGCGTGAAAAAAGGGGGTAAAACAGCGGGTGGGAGTTCGAACGGAGGATAGGTATGTTCGCGTCCGATCAGAATCGCATATGAGCCAGAACGATTGTCGGCTCGATCCACGAACATGTCGATATTTTCACGGTCGTCCAACACTAATCACGTACAGAGCGTTTTCTATGCACATTCACGCCTTGCCCGACAGCCGCGTGCATAAATAATTTCGTCAAATTAGAAATCGTACCCGCTTTCGACGTGCTTCACTCCTCCGATAAGCATATTTCGATCTTTCTCGTGTTGACTCGTTTGAAAAATTGCCGACGTTTATTTCTCTCCACTTTTTGGGGACGTAGATTGTCGCTTGAAGAAGCTGTGCTAACACTTTGAACGTGAAGAAACTATGTATAGTTATTCTACTTCATTTTGTATCTTTTCTTTTTCTTAATTTTTCTGATGGAGGAACTTTATAATACTAAAATTTTGAGTATCAAGTAGCGATGTATAATTTCGTGTCTTCGTAAACACTTGTAGGCCTATTTTTGATAGATGAGAACCAGATAAATACCAAGAAGCAACGTATCACAATTGTATTTAATTTTAAGTTTTTATAAAAATTCGCAGGCTTACTTTTGATTTTTCTGACAGATGAGCCTCTCCTCTATACCTGCGAAAATGTGCAATTATAAGTCATTAACATTCTCATCCTTATTTCAGTAGCAGCGAAGACTTGTCTAATAAACGAAGTAAACACCATTGTCAATTTTAACGAATAATTTATTAGTACAAAGTGTTACCGAATAATTTACATGGTCCATAAGTTACTCGCTTAAATAATCTAGCAGTCGAAGAACGAGCTCGAAGTGAGGCATTGCAACAGATCGAAACTCGGAAGATATGGCATCCAGGTAACCCGGATTCTGTCGTTCACCATGTATCATGGGAGTTCGAGGTCGTTTAATTAGCTTCGTTCGTAATGGGTGCTTGAGCAGAGTAAGCCATCGAATGAGCGTCAGCTTTTTCTTTCTCGATATCGAAGCTTCTCTTGTAGTAGCCCTGAGATTGACCACTAGCCGCTGCACCTGCTGGCCAGGCTTGATTAGCATTGTCAAACCATCCAGATGCTGGTTGAACGTTCTTGCTGAAGATGCTGGTAGGTCCTTCTGATTTACTGCCACCGCCGAACAGTCTTTGGAAAGCGAGCACTCCTGCTAAGAGGAGGGCGATCTTGCCAACGAAGAGAGCCTTCATGACCAGAAGGCCGAGACTTCCGAGGAGGAGGGGCACCAGGGCGAACAGTTTCACTCCTGCGGCGGCGATCAGGGGCATCGCCATTTTCTTGATCTTTGCGCGACCTGGAAATTAAGGGTTTGCATGTACAAGGGAAATTGATTTTAGTACTTTGGGAATTTTGAGAATTCTGGGATATTCTTTTTTGTTTTCAAGAGAATTTTGGGAATTCTAGAATACCCTTTTCTTTTTAAGGGAAGTTTGAGAATTCTAGAGTGCCCTTTTCTTTTCAAGGGAACTTTGAGTACTCTAGGATACCCTTTTTATTTTTAAGGAAATTTTGGGACCTCTGGGATACCCTAGAGATGGAAATGTTGGAAGAATCGAGCGCAGAAATGTAGAGCATGATTATAGAATTTTCAAGAGTTTGGTGTTCGAAGTAATGTATTTATTACAATGAATAAGTAATGATTATTCCAGTGTATATATAATTTTTTAATTATTGTATTATCGTGAAAGAACTGAAGTTATGTAGTACAAGTTATAGTAGTGTGTTATGTAGAAATAGTGTTCATATAGAAGAAGAGATGTAGAAATATTCTTTACAACACTTTCAGAAAGTTTTGTCGTCTTAATTTTAAGAGCATTCGATCAAACAGAGTATATATAGAGAGAAACTTTAAAGTTTTGGAAAGAATTCAGAAATTTCACTTTGGAACACCCCTCTCTTCGATATTTGTTAGAAACATCCATCCGAGAATAGTAAATAAAGTAAATTCGACCGGTCACCCATCTTTGCGCGTGCCGCGACGAATGGCATCTTGACTTCGATGATCGATGAAAGGTCGGCGCTACCTACTCTGCCGCCCACCTCCATCAATATTAAGTCATAATAAAACGATTACATGCTAACTAAGTAGTTAAAATACAGAAATTCACTTTATGCAGTATTAGCTGCAGTTTTGCACCTATTAAAAATATTTTTCAAACGCGACACTTTTCATCCAAAGTTCGTCATTCACATTTAAACGATTAAATTAACTCTGTCAAATGACTCCTTCAAACTTCAAAAATCCTAAAAATGTCAGTAATACTACTTCCCTTCTCACAAAATTAAAATCTCAGCGATAAAAAAAAAATTTGTCGTCTTTTAACATTCGCTCCTTTCAAAATCACCAAGCTGAAATTCCACACCGACCAACTGAAACTTCTTCAAACAAACTGTATTCCCTAGCAATTTGTCAGCAAACGAATCCTAAGTGTCGCTAATGAATGGTCCTCACACTATCAGTCCCAACGTTCTCCTTTTTTTTTTCATTTCCTCCCCGAACGCGACGTACAATTTCAGAAGGAAAGCGAACGTAGGAGGAGGAGGAGGCGCGCGAGGAACGAGTTTATCCGGAACAGGTTGCCGCGGCGCGTATAGATATCACGAAGGTGAAAGGCTCGGCGGACAGTTTATTCGTTCATAGCAGTGGCGCGTCATCGGGGTGGGAACGATTACGTAATGGGAGCGACTCTATGATAGCGTGGTATAGAAAGTTACCTTCGTTCAATGCGCGGGAGATTGAACCCTCCTCGGGCATGCTCAGCTTCAGGCTGTGAGACTTCAGGAAGGACATCGCGGATTCGTACAACATGCTTGCAAGCTTGACGGCACGGTCTGATGTGTCCCTTGGTAGTTCGTTCATCAAGTCCATTTCCGTCTTCAAGTCTTTTCCGCTACGTTCCACTGGAAGGAGCAATGACACTTGCGATATTACACTGGACACTTTTTTGGCAAAGGAAAGATTTGGGAAAGACAAACAAATTTTGAGATATTCGAGAATTTGAGAAGAGCAAGGGTTTTATGGTACCATTTTAAAAACCAAGGTTTGACCAAATATTGTATATTTGAAATTTGAGAAAAATTAAAAAATTTGAAATTTGACAAAAGGATGCTGAGATTATTATAAGGTTACCAAAGATTTGAACAGTATAGAAAATTAAATTGGAGATTCTATTGGTACCATTTTAAGAACCAAGGTTCGATCAAACATACTAGAAGTTCGAGAAAAATTAAAAAATTTGAAATTTGTCAGAATTTCAAGTCTGCAAGGATGCTGAGATTGCTATAGGTCCACCAAAAATTTCAATAGTACCGAAGATTAAATTGGAAACTTCATTGGTACCATTTCAAAGAATAAAGTTTGACCAAGTGAACTAGAAGATTGATAAAAATTGAAAAATTTCAAGCTTGCAAGGATGCTGAGATTACTACAAGTCTACCAAAGATTTCAACAGTATCGAAGACTAAATTAGAGATCTATTGGTACCATTTTAAAGATCAAGGTTTGACCAAGCATACTAGAAATTTGAGAAAAATTAAAAAATTTGAAACATGGGAAAATTTCAAGTCTGCAAGGGTGCTGAGATTGCTACAAGTCTACCAAAGATTAGAATATTATCGAAGATTAAATTGAAAATTCTATTGGTATGAATTTAAAAATCAAGGTTCGACCAAGTAGACTAGAAATTTAAAAAGATCAAAAAAATTTCAAGTCTAATCAATTATATCACCAATATACCAATCAACGTGTCCACCAAGACGATTCAACTCACTGGGCGTTTCCCTGACGAATTTCACACCGTCGAGTATCTCAATGTCGCTGGACCTAGAAGCTCTATCCAGCACACTGACAGTCTTCACGAAGACGCAGCTGAACAGCGAGTTATCTTGCTCTAAACAATCAAGATCCCTGTTCGTCTGTAGCTCGTTGTTGTCCGGCATTGGCACTGCCATCGCAGACCCCGCGAGAAGTCCCAGAATCACCAATTTGTTCATCTTCTTTCTCTATCTCTATCGAGACGACACGGCGAACACGAAGTTGAAGAAGAAACAAAAAGTGGTCACGGTTCAAGACGGATCTGAGCACGTCGAACGGAAAATTTTCGGAGCAAAGTGTGATCTGACCCTCCGTAGCTTCTATCTTTATAGGTGTACACCAGCTGGGACCCTCCCCAATATCCCCACTCTAGCCGATGACGCGTGTGACGACGACAAACGGCTAAAAGGCACACAAGGCGTCATCGGTGGTACACGTCGTCGCTAGCCATCTCCCCGTCAAACAGAAACTTTCTTCGATATTTTTCTTTTTTTAAACAAACCACTGACCGACTCTTCCGTGAGTCGATGGCGTAGCTCGAGCTGGGCGGACCCTAGCCTAAACGATTAAAGATATTGGTGGCCCAGCTGGGCTCGTGTATTTGGGTCAGTAGGGGAGGCGCCGTAAACCAAGCTGCCGTAAACTCTGTGCATCACGAACTGATTGCATTCGAAATGATACGAACTTGGGGAAATTGGAAGGGGATCGATTGATCGTAAAGATTGTCATCTTAAATATAATAGTTCTCTAAATCTAGGACACTGTCCTACACACTTTACCATTTTTCGTACCATTTCGTTTAAAGCAACTTCGACTTCCTTACGTTGAGCAGCAAAGTGTAGATTTTTTATAACTGAAGTATCTCTGTGAAATTTGAATATAATTGTTCTTCGTGCTCGTTAATTTTACGCGATACTAGGTTATCATTTTAGAGACTGGAAGCGATTGCAGCTTTTCTCGAGGAAGAGGCGTGTCCAACCTAGCGCCCATGAACATAATTCACCTTAATCTCCCCAGGTATCTCCGCCGCTCCTCCCTAAACGCTAGAACCGAAAAATCTTCCACGTTCGTGACCGGTGCATCCAGGTACATTCATCCACGTGCAGCAGGCTGCTCACCTTGACCCACAGACACGGTCATCGGTCGTCTCAAGCCAGGATTACATGTTCAACTGGATTTCTGATATAACGCCGCTCTTCTAAACACCTTCCCCTTTATTCAACCCTCAATTGTCCCCCCTACATATACAAAAATCTTGGAGAAAAATCTCAGTGAACCCAAATTTCCCCTGTCTTCATGTCCATCTTCCACGCAAATCGTCCAAGAAAATTCTACTTTCACCAGCGAACTGTTTGCTCCGTCAACAGTACCAGGTACACGCGAGACGTGACTGAATGAAAAGGGGTAAAAATGTCGACAGGTTTGTATAATTCACTTCGAGTTGGCTCGTCGAGTAAATATTAATTGTCAGTGTTAAAGTACCTGTCCTGCTTCGGCGACGATTTATTACGGATCGGTGATTCGACAATCGGCAAGAAGTAGCCCAGGCAGTGTCATTCGCCTGGCAAACAATGTCCAACAATGCGTACATCTCATCTGAGTTCGTTCCTTTTTTTCTCTTTTATTTTTTTCGAGGCGCGCGTCTCGGAATGGCAACTGCCTTATTCGCGGTGTGCGTTCCATTGTCTCGTTCCGGGTCTCTTTAAATATTTAACAGCCGAGCCGCGCGGGACTTCGTCATCTCGGCGTTAACGGGATACGTCGGCTGGTCGATGGATTTTCGCGATTAATTTTCTAGGTTAGGAGAGAGGCGAGGAAAGGTGGCTACTTCCGATTGTCAACGGAACGATATTCCGTTTCTGTGTTCGCTCGCTGTGCGTTGATACGGGGAACGAGACGAGTCGCGCGTGTGGTGTTTGGATTTGTGGAGGAGAGAGAAACGGATGGCGGAAGAAGGAAGAGGGAAGGATGAGGCGTTAAACGGAGAAATTTTTTCGCGGCTACTCACGTTGCTTTCGACGATGATTCAATTTTGAGTGTTGCGTCGGGATTACTTCCTTCTGATTGGAGTGCGACTTCAATTGAGTCTCTATTGAGACACGATTTTTGTGTAATGGAAAATATTATTTGAAAAGGTGAAGGATTTTAAATGTGATTGGAGCATTTGGAGGAAGAATTTGGATTGACTCTCAATTGACACGATTTTTCTGTGTTAAGAAATATTGTTTAAGAGTATGGAGGACTTTAAATGTGATTGGAGCATTTGATCCTTTCTTCAGATTGTCGTGTAATTTGTATCGACTCTCAATCGACACGATTTTTGTCTGTTAAGAAATATTGTTTAAGAGCGAGACTTTTGCACTTGGAGGAATACAAGACACTTTCTTCTGATTCTCGTAGAATTTGGCTTGATTCTCAGTCGACATGATTTTTATAGATCAGAGAACGTTATTTAAGAGAACGAAGGATTTTGATCCTTCTTCCTGATTTTCGTACAATTTTCTTTGATTCTCAATCGACGCGATTTTTGTCTGTTAAAAAATATTATTTAAGAGTGTGGAGAATATTTCCTCTGATTGTTGTATAATTTGAATTGACTCTCAATCGACACGATTTTTTTTCTTTTTAAATATTACTTAAGAGTACAGAGAATTTTAAATGTGATCGGAGCATTTGTCGTATAATTTACATTAACTCTCCATCGACACGATTTTTATCGAGAATTGAACGAGAAGAACGAGATTGAAGCACATTTGATCGAAGGAAGGATCATTCTTCCAGGAATTCACGCGAAAATTAGGAAATGCACGACCTCGAGAGGCTTGTCCTATTTAACACTAACCCATTCCATTCTTATCTTTATAACTTCCCGACTTATTCAAGCAGCTCAAGTACATATTTTCTCCAACCACTTTCTTCCATTATCTCCATCCATATTCGTGAACCTGAGGTTCACGAATAATTCATCGCAACTTTCAACTATAACTATCGAAAGTGAGTACGTTCTATTCTCTCAATTATCGATAATTAAATTCAAACACCAACGAGTACGTCAATACAACGACAATCCTCGACAATTCCAAGAATTCCAGATGAGCTTTCTCCTCGTGAATAATCGACGACGTTGCGTAACCTCTGATTCCAAGTTAAAGCAATTGATTATTGCTCAGAGGCGAGCAGAGAAACAACAATTCGTCCGAGAACACTTTCTACGATTCGCTTTGACTTCTCTTCACTCACTCTCGGCTTCCTCCTTTTGTGTAACGGAGCGATTAGTACGTTCACGCTACTTCCAACCGCGAATACAAACGTACCTAACGTACGCGGACATTCGGAAACATGTTAAAAAAAACGACACACGACACGCCTTAATTATCGAACTTTCAAAAAGGTAGGGAGAGAAATGAGCAAAACTTTCTTTCAAAATTTCCCAAAATAAATCTCTTTACTTCCTTCTACGTCGTTCCCTGTAAAACTTGTAAGGCTCTGTTTCCACCAAATCGTCCGCCATGTCGAACACATCCTGTCTCTTGTATTTGTTTATAGGCACGTTCACAACCTCGTATCCTCCGCCGTGATGACTCTGAGCGACCTTCTTCAGTCCCACAATCGCCGCAAGGATCAAGCTCATCAAACTCAAGACGACCGCTTTGCCGCTTAAAATCGCCAAGGTCTTCAAAGCGATCGGCAGTAAAATCGACTTAATCAGCATAAATCCGACGATCAACGGTATGATGTATCTGTTCAATTTGTGCTTCTTCTTTCGCCTCCTTCGAGCTGTGAACAGAAGAACGCGTGGTAAGAGCTAAAATCGGATATCGATTTATATTGAACGCGTTAACATCGAGACCGTGGTTCCGACGATTCGAGATTAGATCGTTAAATCGGATACCGTTTCTGTGTCATTGGAGATGCACCAGATAACGCGGTACGATCGGCAGCAAGGGGGACGAAGAAGATGAAAAATGGAGAATAGCGCTCCTTATTAGCCACGTTCGCGAAATGAACAGGGTAATAAGGTGAACTGGAGTGGAAAGCATTTATGGTTTCTTGTGTCGACTGGCCATGCGCCACCAACTACCGTGCGCCATATTACCAGCTATTAGACGTCACTAACGAGCTTCGCCGTAATTACGCGCTCGTTTAGCGGTCGATGATTAACGCGTTAGTTTCGAGACACGCGCCGGCTTAAACGATTGGTCACGCGGGCTTTAACAAATTTACGTGTTCGGGAGGAGCGAACAGTAAACAGAGAATAGAAATTGTCTCATTGGTCGAGTAGATTAAGCGTCGTCTTTTCTTCTTTTCTCAATTTCGAATTCGTCGGAGAAAAATGAAAGCTGAGAGAATTTAGGAACATGAGACTTAAAGACGTGTAGTTTTGCTTAGAACGAATTTATTTCATCGGAATAATTTCCATTAGATTCTGTACACTTTTTCCAACGCTTTGCAGGAGTTCCTATTCCATTACAATACAAATCAGGATTTCTAGAATGAATAAATTCCACGAAGGTATTTACAGCATCCCCTTTATCGCGGAAGATTTTTTCTCGCAAAAAGTTATCGAAATGTTTAAAAAAATGATAATCTGTAGGGGACAAGTCGGGGGAATAAGGAGGGTGTTTTAACGTTTCATAACCCAATTCGTGTATCTCTCGAATCGTGAATTGTGATACGTACGGACGGGTGTTATCGTGGTGGAGTATTGGTCCCTTACGATTTACCAAACTTCATTAGTTGTGCTTTCACCGAATACGTGATCGATATTGCGGCCAGTTTCCGCGGCTTTACGTCCTAATTTAAATTCGTATAAAAATATGGTACGAATTTGCTTCTTGTCCATTGTTACGTTTTTAAGTTGCACTCAGAACAAACGACGGTAAAAAACAAAAGTGTGTCGTTTATATGATAGAGCGACGTCTACGCGTTCAAATGGTATATTACTTAATAAAAATAAATTTAAAATATATAGTACAGAAAAGCCCTAAATATGACATAACAGAAAACCGCAATTTATTTCCGGACAACCTAATAGTATACCGTCGTATGGAGACCGTGTTGCAGGGAGAACAGTGTCCACGTCGTTCAGAATCCCATCACCGATCCAGTCCTCGTAGCTCCTCGAGTTCTCCAACCGCGGCGTCCGTCTTTCCTGCATCATGGTGGGCTGCGTGGTCTCCGCCATTGTTAACAGCGGCATCAGCAGCAACGAGTATAGCAACAGCATCCTCTTGTCTCATCTGACGATCTCTTCAGCACCGATATTTCAATCTACCACTATGAAATCAGTCACACCTCTCAGAAAAATAAAAAATAAAGAAAAATGATCTGCAAATGTATATGTCACTGATAACGGTTAAGTTCACAGATGAGAACGATGGTCAAGCACACCTCGCGATCATCGAGAGATCACGTTGACAATGGCAGGGGAACCACGAGAGGAGAACCGTCCAGTTGACAAAGGAAATGTTCACTGACATTCGCCCTAGGCCGGACCATTAGTTTATATAGGTGGAACGCGAAAAGAGCAGAGAAGGAGACCATCGTCTAACTTGGTACTGACGCGTGACGAAGGATTTGCCGTCCATTCCCGTCCACCTCCGTCTCTGTGCTCTCCGGTCATTGGACGACGTCGTCACTGGTCGCGCCACTGGTGTGTACATGGAAATGTGTTCGCGGGATCTATCGATCGTCGACGATGGCGACGGCGAGCTGTGAGAAGTCAAGGTTCGTTTCACATTCGAGTGATCTATCGAATGGGTTCGTGCAGCGCGTCTGGATGAGCCTGTTTGTGGTTCGTTGCGAGGACATGGGAAGAGAGGCGCGACGCGAAATGAAAACGATCGCGACGCGAAAGGAAACGTGTGATTGAGCTGGTGTGTGCATCCTTGAGTTTCGCTTTTGAAGAAGTAGCTTTTAGATCGATGGAGGTTTTGGTTTTAGTTGGAGAAAGGATGAGAGGTGAATTTTTTAGGAGTGAAAAGAAGGGTTAAGGATCAATTCCTGAATCTTGCCTGTTAGATCTGTGAAATTTTGTATTAAATTAGAGAAGGGGTGAAGGATGAATTTTTTTCCTTGAGGAAAAGAAGGATTAAGGGTGGATTTTTGAATGTTTTCCATTGGATCCATAATATTTTGTATTAAATTAGAGAAAGGGTGAAGGATGAATTTTTTTCCTTGAAGAAAAGAAGGATTTTTGAATGTTTTCCATTGGATCCATAATATTTTGTATTAAATTAGAGAAAGGGTGAAGGATGAATTTTTTATCTTGCAGAAAAGAAGGATTAAGGGTGGATTTTTTAATATCTTCCTTTGGATCTATGAAATTTTGTTTGAAATTAGAGAAAGGGTGAAGGATGAATTTTTTTCCTTGAAGAAAAGAAGGATTTTTGAATGTTTTCCATTGGATCCATAATATTTTGTATTAAATTAGAGAAAGGGTGAAGGATGAATTTTTTATCTTGCAGAAAAGAAGGATTAAGGGTGGATTTTTTAATATCTTCCTTTGGATCTATGAAATTTTGTTTGAAATTAGAGAAAGGGTGAAGGATGAATTTTTTTCCTTGAAGAAAAGAAGGATTTTTGAATGTTTTCCATTGGATCCATAATATTTTGTATTAAATTAGAGAAAGGGTGAAGGATGAATTTTTTATCTTGCAGAAAAGAAGGATTAAGGGTGGATTTTTTAATATTTTCCTTTGGATCTATGAAATTTTGTTTGAAATTAGAGAAAGGGTGAAGGATGAATTTTTTTCCTTGAAGAAAAGAAGGATTTTTGAATGTTTTCCATTGGATCCATAATATTTTGTATTAAATTAGAGAAAGGGTGAAGGATGAATTTTTTATCTTGCAGAAAAGAAGGATTAAGGGTGGATTTTTTAATATCTTCCTTTGGATCTATGAAATTTTGTTTGAAATTAGAGAAAGGGTGAAGGATGAATTTTTTTCTCGAAGAAGGAAAGAATTAGGGATGGATATTTGAGGGTGGAGAATTTATGCAGAGTCTGTTAGATCTATTAAATTTTGTTTTAAGTTAGGCAAAGGATGAAGGATGAATTTTTTTTCTAGGAAAAGAGAAGAAGAAGAGAATTAGAATCTATTAAAAGGAATGATTTGTACGTTCTCTATGAAGTTTATTGATTATTCCACTTAAAGTGTACGAAACGATTACTGTGTCAATAACATATGTACAATCAAATATAATAACTACTATATAAACAAGCATAAATCTTTAGGCTGCATCGTTTAAAACACTCATATTGCACTTCGTGATTCCGGCTATAAAACGCAATCTGTTTAACGCGTGTCGTGTTAACGACGTACTCTTCGCTTATTTACGGCTTCATTCCGATCGACAGGATAATTGAAAAGTTAGACAAAATACATCGAAACGATCGCAAGAAATCTCCAGGGATTATCGAAAAAGTTTTATCGTCGAAGCTTTCTAAGCCATATTATTCTCAACGAAATTCTCCGGGGCAAAAAAGAGCCTGAGAAAAGATCTAATTGATCTCTGTAAAAACGAAAACTCCGTCGGTCTGGTTACTATTTCCGATCAGGTTTTTGCGGAAATCTTTAGAATCGAGTTCGTGTTCCTGGCCATTTAAGCGCGGTCAACAGTCGACCGTTATATCTTTCTTTGAAAATGAAACGGCAGTATCGATCATTACGGGCGACATGCAACGCTCGAAACATAGAACGAAAGAAGACCGCAATGATGACAGTGATTTCGCTCTGCCTAGGCTTTTCGTCATCCCGTTTCTTTTCTTTCGACCCCCCCTTTCAATCTTTGTCCCGTTTCTCCCGCAATTATTCGTGTCCCCGTGTTCACGCAGGAAGCCACCAAATTGTCCACCGTTTCCTCGTACAACGTCACAATGCTCTTTCATCTGGCACATGAATAAAATCGCGCTAATTCCGCACGACTTCCTCGATCCGGACACGAGAACGTATGTATGGAGCTTAATGCATGACGAATTTTCATTTAATTCCATGAAAAATTTGAAATTTGCTGCAGTGACCTGTTATGGGTGAGTAGATATATTGTTAACGGTACAATTGATAGGCTATAAATAATTCTAACAGGTCATATGGGCTTGTGAAATTCTATATTATGAGAATCGATGGAAAAAGAGGTCTGGAAAGTAGTTTTATCAAAAGTAATCGCGACTAAATGTACTACATGTATGTACCAGATGTGACATTGAAGTAAATAATTGTGTCGTCTAGAAGATAAATGACTTTCTACGAAAATATGTGTGCTAAACACCGTCCATACAGGAATTCGGTTTTCATTGAATGCGGGTATTCCCAGCTTCGATAAACTGCATCGCGTGCAACATGTCGATTTCCGGGGAAACCGTGTTCCCTCAGTTTCAGAAACCTCTTAATATCGGTAAAGAAGGGAAACGAGAAAGAGGAAAATAATTAATAGGATACAAGCGCGGATGATCTCTAAACCATATCAAACCCCACTTTTTTGATTTCCAATTTCCCTTGCTTGATGACAAACTTGCATAAATCCCCACGATCAGCCTACCTAGAGATTTGTATTGTGTAATTATCATGACATAGACGTAAAAGCTCTTCAAACCCCTTCAAACTTCATTTTTCCAATTTACAATTTCCCTTGCTTGAAGTGAACCATGCATCAATCCTCATGATCAGCCTGCCTAGAGATTTGTAACGTGTAATTATTATAACACAGGCGTAAAAGCTCTTCAAACCCTCTCAAACACCATTTTTCCAATTTTAAACTTTTCCTCCACGAATTTAACCTTCCATAAATTCCCACAAACAGGCTTCTTAGATTCGTAATATATTTATTCATACATTTTTTGATAAACAATTATATAATTATCATGACACACAGGTAAAAGCTCTTCAAACCTGCTCAAACCTCACTTTTCAAAATTTCAATTTCCCTTCCACGAATGCAATCTTTCATAAATCCCTACGATGACTCTATCTAGAGTTTACTAATATATAATAACCATGACTCGGTGATAAAACCTTTTCAAACACTCTCAAACCCCACATTTCCAATTTTCTTTCCACAAATTCAATCTTTCATAAATCCCTACGATCACTCCACTTAGAAATTTTAATGATCACAGCACAGAGGTAAAACCTCTTCAAACACTCTCAAACCCCATTTCCCAATTTCATTCTTTCACAAATCCCCAAAAGCAGTCTGTTCAGATTCCTACAATATTCATCGGTACATCGATCAACCGATAATTCCATAATTACCACGACACAGAAAAGAATACTCTTCAAACCCTCTCAAACCCCACTTGTCCAACTCGCAAATTCAACCTTCCACAAATCCCCACGACGAACCTACCCAGAGCTACCTTCTACCCGCCGACGAGTGCAATCGATCAGTCGACATGTCGTCGCCCTGGTTAGCAGCGCAGCGTAACTCAAAAATCACCGCGCGCACGTCAAGCGATTCCTCTGCAACATGTGATTATGCACCCCCTACACAAGCTAGAACAACTTCCTTCGAAAAGAATAGAGGAAGGATGGAAGGAGCAAGAAGTCTCTGTACCGTTCGACAATATAACCTGACACATATATCGCCGCCGACAATTTGGATCACAGTGCTGGACGCACGCATATATTGCCGGCTCGTCGCGCGGTGCTCATTTTTCACGGACTGTCGATCCCGCTGGTAACTGAAGCGTGCCTGGCGTGGTACCTCTGTCAAGCCCCCCTCAGCTCCATCCACCAGGAATCAAGAGCGCATCAGTTAGCTCGCGGTCGTTCGCTGTTCCAGTCTGTTCCCAAGGAACCTCCGTATTTGCATTCGAATTCCAGTGATAAGATATCGATCGTGAAAGATTCTTCGACGTTTCTTTGATCCAGGAGAAAGAGCAAGCTATCGAACACAGGACCACTTGTGCACACGTAAATCCTGAACATCTGAATCGCACGGTGATCTTTCGATCGAAGTTTTCGAACATCTCATCAAGTTGTAAGTTGTTTGTCTTCATTTATCGAGTGTGTTTGGAATGATTTCTTTTGCGTTTTGATGCCCTTAAGAGTAGTGTTGGTATTGATCCTTGATTTTTTAAATTATCGTTTCTATGTATTGAGTTTTTTTGTTCGACGATGATTGTTTGAGAGACGTCGATGTTTTTAGAGACTGTTCCTTAAGGCTGCTGCTCTATTTGACCAGTGAATTTGTAAAATTAACAGTCAACGTTGGCGACCGAAGTAGCAGATCGGTTATTATTTCACGCTTTCAGGAACATCGAAATAGAGAAGCAGACAAAGTCATGGTGCAAGGAGTAGCGAGAGCAGCGAGACGATTGTGATCACTGGAAACGTGGAATGTTTGAATGTGTTTGAAGCGAGCTGACACCACCAGGGGGCTATCGCGAATTACATTCTCGAGGATGTAATTGGGAGTCGTGAATTGAAAAGTGGACGGAATTCGTTGTGTACTGTCGAGAAGATGAGATCGAGAGTGAATATAGTCGCGATTCTATTGACTCTGAGCTGTGTGGTACGTGTATTGGAGGGTTTGAGGTCTGACGAGAAGCAGGGTGGGAGTAAAGAGTATCCCGTTGGAAAGAAGGTGATCAAAGAGGATCACAACAAAGTTGCGCCGCAGAGCACCATTTCTCTTCGCGGGGATGAAAAGACGAAGGTGGTGAAGACGCAAACTAGGACCAACGGAGTGGGTTTGTCCAAGGACTACTTACATGGGCCAGGTAATCTTAGAATTTAATTCAATTACATATAAAATATATTAATATTAAATGTGATGAAATCCTTACGATGTTGGTAACGCAGTTGTACAAAAAGAGGATGGATAAAGATATAAGAGTTTGTAACACAAGAAATGAAAAGAAAGACAGAGAAGTACAGAAAATTGTGTTGTGTTGCGAGAAGGTAGATGAAGAACGTAACAAAGTAATAATTAAGATTAAATTTAGAGTTGGAGTTCATATTGACAATTATCCTTAATAGCCAAGATAGCAGAGCGTTTGAAGGAAAATAGGGAGGTAGAGAAAAAGTCAATGCAGTAATTAAACGTAATTTATGAAAATGAAAATATAAATACACGAAAATATATCGATGTACTGAACATTATCAGTAAATACGTTGGATATTATTAATTGACGTATTGAAGTACTTCTAGATATACCGTTTAAGTAAGGCAAACCATCTCAAACATTTAAAAAATCTTCTATTTCCATTAGAACAAAATTTTTATGAATTAAGCATTATCAATATGTGTTGAATATTATTCATTCATGTATTAAAGTACTATTAGATATACTATTTAAGTCGTGCAAACAGACTCAAACATTTAAAAAAATGATTGACAAAAATAAGAATTTTAATACACACCAAAATTTTTATGTATTAAGAATTTCAATAAATATTTTGAATATTATTCATTGATGTATTAAAATACTAATAGATATACTGTCTACGTAAAACAAACTATCTCAAACATTTAAAAAAATCTTCCATTTCCATTGATTGACAAAAATAAGAATTTTAATATACACCAAATTCTTTATGTAGTAAGCATTAGTGTGGAATATTAATCATTCATGTATTAAAGTACTATTAGATATACTGTTTAAGTCGTGCAAACAGTCTCAAACATTTAAAAAAATGATTGATAAAAATAAGAATTTTAATACACACCAAAATTTTTATGTATTAAGAATTTCAATAAATATTTTGAATATTATTCATTGATGTATTAAAATACTAATAGATATACTGTCTACGTAAAACAAACCATCTCAAACATTTAAAAAAATCTTCCATTTCCATTGATTGACAAAAATAAGAATTTTAATATAGAACAAAATTTTCACTTTTTCAAGCATTCTGAATAAATATGTTGAGTATCATTAGTTGACGTATTGAAACACTATTACATATACTCTCTAAGTAAAGACGACCTGAAAAACGACCATCACCCCTTCCACTAAATAAAAACCACATAAATTTGTACTGTGCAATCTCGTTTATTAGATCCTCATCGTCTAAGTTACATCATAGGACGAGTTAATCATCTCAGTCATTAGTTACAACGAAATAATATCAATCATAATAATCTCGTTACATCTACAATAGACAATATCGATATACAAAGAAGAGGCACCGATCCACAAACAATCTCAACAATTACCCTTTCAAACTCCTTTCAGATCGTCCTCGTCGAAGGAAGCGAAAGATGGACCGTACGATGATGGCGCTTCTGATGGCCTACAAGATGAAATTCGTCGCTCTGGTTCCAACAATGGTCGGCGGATTGATCCTTCTCAAGGCCACAGCTCTATTAGCGGGCTTCTTTTTCGCGTTGTTTGCCGCGGTTCTAGGTCTGAAAGTTCGCTGAACATCGCGATTAAAATCGCTCCAGCAAAATGTTGAGACCAACGTTGTCGATTTATCCAATTGGCGCGATTTCATCGTGAATTATCTGGATCTCGTGGATCACGATTAACGATTCTTGCCGTGACCCATTCGCGTTAAGAATGTAACATATACTACATGTATCTCGTATTGGTGTAGCGAAAGAACAAGCGTTGTGAAAAAATGATCATTAAACCGTTTGTGTCTTCCTTATTCACGTGGATTGCGTGTGCCTCTTCGTTCGATCTCAGTCTTTCTTCCGCTTCGATCAAGATCGGTTACATCGTTAACGTAAATTATTAATTCGACGATAAATACTCATGGCGTTTAGCAAATAAATAATCTGTGTACTTTCACGCGGCTGCCGTTCACTATCGAGGGGGGTTTGCCGGCCGAGTTGAAGAGATACGCGAGAAACGACCGCGAAATTCGTCGATTCCGTCGTTCGCGGGGTCGCCTCCAGCGAGGAAAAATGCCAAGTGTCGGTTCCGTTAGACGCTCGCGTGCGTGCAAATGGTTATTATCGCGTCGAACGGCTTTCCGGTTGACGGGGAATGAACATGAGTGGCATCGAGATATGTACGTTACGTGCACTATACTGTATCGCGTGACCGCAACATTTGCCTGTTAAGTGTCGTTGACATTCACCGTTTTCGTTTAGCTGACAAATTTCATGCACGTCGAGAAATTCTTCGCCGATGCTAATTTCAACGAGAATAAGAACGAAGAAAAATCTACCATTTACTTAATTTCCATGTTTCTTTATAAATAATTCGACGTTGTACATTGAACGGCGAGAAAATTCCTTGGAAGAAGGGATACGAACGGTCTCGTAACCTTCTTCAAGGGAGAATCGTCGACTATCCTACTGAACAAACGAGTTTCAATCTAGCAACAATTAAAATCGCATCGTCACTTGAGAATTATCAGTCCAACGATCGATACCGCAGGTAAATCTCAGTTCAGAGCGTAGAACAGCTGCCATTCGGGCGCCGAACGGAACCGGAAGGCCCTCCACTTCCCTCACCAGTCATCAATGTTGCTGCCTCGCCGAATAGGCCAGGCTGTGAGCGTACTCGCGTATTTGTTCGGTGGTCGTCGACTCTGTGGAGCTCAAAACGTTCTTCAGACTTCTGTCCCAGCCACCTCCGCCCTGTTGCCAACCGCCGTGATCGTGACTCTGCTTCTGGCTCAGCAGTTTCTTCAGGCCGATGATCAGCGACAAGACCAGAGCGATCTTGCTGATGATCAAAGCCTTTCCAGCCAGTAAGAACAACACTCCGAGTGCAATTGGTATCAGCGCAGCCATCTTCATAGCCATTCCCATCATCATCATGCCCATCATCTTCTTCATCTTGCCTCTACCCTCCTCCATGCCTCTCTTCAGCTCGCCAGGACTGGTTCTAGGCAGACGAATCTGAATGTTGAAGCTGTTCAGCAGCGAGGCAACCCTGTCGAACAAGATTTCGTTCAGAATCTCGTCTTTGCTGCTCACGGTCCTTCCCAAGCTGGCTTCCAGCTCGGAGGCGGAGCTCTTAGGCATCTCGTCGGAGGTTCTGACTAATTCGAAGCTGTCGGACAGCGGCAGAAGTCTCATCCTGCCTAATCTCTCGAAGAAAGCGATAGCTTTCTTCTTCAGACACGGTGAAATAGCGATATTCCTGTGCTGACAATCCTCGTAGACCCTGTACATTGCTCTGAAGCCTCTGTCCATCAAGGTGTCTTCGTCTTTGGTCCCTGTGGACGCGTGACAGGCGACACAGCATGCCAACAAGAATAACACACACTTGGATAGATCCATGATCCCTTTTTTCTTCCAAGAATCTTCAACGTAATCCTCTGCAGTGGAAGCGGAACACAAGGGAGCAGGAACGTGAGAGAGATATTCACTTCTTCAGAGCACTTCCGCGTTGTCGAGGGTCCAGAGAAGGAACTGGCGGCGAGAGCAGTGATTCGTCCGGATATATACCATCCGAGGGAACCAAGATCCCTGAAACGTCTCTCCCACGTAAGGAGCCAACAGCCTGTGAATCTACCAATGGTCACACACACGTGACCACGTCCCCCTGCACACGCGGCCTCTCTAAACAACCATGTGTCTCTCTTTCTTTCGTTCGCTCCTTGGTACGATTCGCCCGGTCCCACTCACGGTGTCCTGTCTCTCCTACCACGGTCTACACAACCGTAGGATTCTCTCATGGCGCGAGCATGCGACCCATCCTGACACACAGACCCACTGAGCCCATCGAGATCGAGATAGAAGGAGGTAGAACACAGGCTGACAGGCATTAAAGTTTCGCTGACGCTACCAAGCCGGTGATAGGGAGAGGGGAAGACGATGCCGAAGGAAGTATACTATTGGCGTGCCTGACACCGTGAACCCTGTGACCTCGCTGAACGGCAGCGCGATCAGCGGGAAGTAGTTTTAGGTCGTGGACGAACCGCGTCCTTAACTCTCGCGTGTTTCTGCACAGACCTCTGACTGGTCCAGATTTTCCGTTGTGTAAATCAATGGGCTGAATGGCGAGGGATTTGGTGAAATTTCTCGCGAAGCTTGCTTGGGTGTTTAAACGGCTGGTTGCTCCTTCGGGTCAGATGGTTTGGGCAATGGAGGAGAGTTGAATTTTTGGCGTTGGAAGGGAGAATTCTGTGGTGGTTGAAATGTTTAGGTTGCTTCTTCGGTTATTTTTCATTATAGATGAAAATTGAATTTTTCATATTTTAGGGAAGGATTCTTTAATACTTGTCGATGGATGAAAATTGAATTTTTGATATTTTAGGGAAGGATCCTGTGGTACTTGAAATTGTTAGGTTGCTTTTTCTGCGTTTGTGTCAGTTACTTTTGGCGATGGACGAAAATTGAATTTTTAATATTTTAGGGAAGGATCCTGTGGTACCTGAAATTGTTAGGTTGCTTCTTCTGCGTTTAGGTTAGTTACTTTCAACGATGGACGAGAACTGAATTGCTGGTTTTTAAGGAAGAATACTTTGGTACTTGAAATTGTTAATTCGTTTCTTCTGTGTATGTGTCAGTAGCTTTGACGATGGGGGAAAATTGAATTTTTGATACTTCAGAGAAGGATTCTGTAGTACCTGAAATATTTAGATTGCTTCTTCTGCGTTCAAGTTAGTTGTTTTTGGCGATGGACGAAAATTGAATTTTTAATATTTTAGGGAAGGATTCCGTAATACTTGTCGATGGATGAAAATTGAATTTTTGATATTTTAGGGAAGGATTCTGTGGTACTTGAAATTGTTAGGTTGCTTCTTCTGCGTTTGTGTCAGTTATTTTTGACGATGGACGAAAATTGAAGTTTTAATATTTTAGGGAAGGATTCTGTAATACTTGTCGATGGATGAAAATTGAATTTTTGATATTTTAGGGAAGGATTCTGTAATACTTGTCGATGGATGAAAATTGAATTTTTGATATTTTAGGGAAGGATTCTGTGGTACTTGAAATTGTTAGGTTGCTTCTTCTGCGTTTGTGCCAGTTACTTTTGACGATGGACGAAAATTGAATAGAAAACGATGGAATTGTTTTGGGTTGGAGAATGAATAGAACGTCATGCACCATGAATCGAGGAGTTTCGTTCGACGTGATGTAATTAAGAGATTGCAATTTCGTTGCAACGTATGTATGTGCAACGAAACATATAGAAGCGAGAGCAGAGCAACGAGGAAGAGTGAGCTGACGTGTTGCACCTTTTTTCGTTCGTTGCACCAGACTGCCACTTCTCACCTTCACTCGTGGTCTTCTTCGTCTTTTTCTGAGGCTAGCCGGGCGTGTCCGCGCGGTGAGGAAAACAAACAGCTGTCGACAGGATGATTTATAGGGTCCCGGGCGTGCCACAAGATTCACTCTTGCATGGCAAACCAGTACTTCATCTAAATTCATAGCGAATCCTGCTATTTCCTTATTCAAAATAGTGCTAGAAGTGTAATTTAATGGTAGATCTGTAGAATGGTAGAATCCTGTTGTTAAAAATTTGTTCATGGATCAGAGATTAAAAAGGACGTCAAATTTTTTGTCCTTAAGTTCTGATGGAGTATCTAATCTCGAAATCCAGATATCAGGATTTTTATGCAAAATTCCAAATTTCTAAAGATTCCTGACTTCCTCAAGTTTTAATCTATCCACTTCTCGAATTCAAAATTAATATTGAGTGGTGTAATATGAAATATCGAATTTTAATTCGTTCGAAAGTTGATAACACAAGTGTTATTTGAGTGCTAAACAGTTCTGAGCTTTCCTCTGTCAACCCTTTGGCGACCAGACTCTAATACTCAAATAAAAACTGATCTCAATGTGGAATTCATCACTGACGCAAAAATCGCCACATAAATTTTCAAAAAATGTAATTCTGTCACGAAAGGGTTAACTCAAAATTCCCACAATTCTTGATAAGTTACTTTAATAAACTCTAATATTCGTGTGAATTAAAACATCTTCTCACATATTAATCTCAATTTGGAATCCAACACAGTCGCAAAAATCGCCACATAAATTCTCAAAAAATGTAATTCTGTCACGAAAGGGTTAACTCCAAGTTCGCACAATTCTTCGTAAGTTACTTTTATGAAATCTAAGGGTATCTGTTAATATTCGCGTGAATTTAAAAAACTTGCGTCTAGTATTCCCGCCAATTTTGAAATTCCGAATTTCAAGGGATTCTTAAAAAAAAAAAAAAAATGTATTCATCAAATAGAATGTGTCACTGTGCCGATCTCACAGGCGGATCGAGGTTAACGCATCTCTAATGCGACAACGACGCATCCTCGATGCTCGCTTACCTACTTCGCGATTATCCCATAGCGAGGGTCGTCGCGAACCGAGGCGAACAGCGTTAAAGCGCGTGCCACATTCGCGGCGCGCAGGTGAATTCGCACAGCCACCGTGGGGGACGGGTCTCACATGGCGGAACAATCGAGTATCGCGACGGAAACCGATCCCCTGGAACGCGTAAATCGCGCCTGCAAGATCGACGAGCTGACGCCTCAAGAACGTGTGAATGTACATATACGCGCGTACATTGTAGCTTCGATCTGATTTTCCTCGCTTCCAGGTGAGTCTCTGGGAATTATGCTGCTGGTGAATTGAAATGTGTGAAATTCGCTAATTTTGGAAGTATTATTGCTATATTGACTCGTATTTTCAAGAACTATTACAATTATTTCTCAATTTTTATTATTAATACTATTATTCCATTATTTTCAAATTTTCACTATCAATATTATTATTCTATTATTTTTCAATGTTTATCATTGTTATTATTATCTTTCTATTATTTTTCAATTTTTACTATTAATATTATTACTCTATTATTTTTCAATTTTTATCATTGATATTATTGTCATTTCATTGTTTCGCTGCTTTTTAGTTTTTCGCATTAGCATTATCTATATGTACTACTGTTAAGACAGAAGTTGAATGAAGAAAAGCTTTGATGTGATAATGAGCGGTGAGAAGAAATAGTGGAAAGGCAGTGAAGTAATAACAGAGGTTATTTGTTTGACAGTGTGCAGACGTAAAATTAGAAAGGGGCCTCAATTTGATGTTTCAAAGTTGGGAAATTTATTCTTTATATTCTAAGATGACGGAATACCACTTGGTAGTCTACTTTATTAAATTACGGTAGCTGGTGCGTGTACGAACGCGACACTGGTACCTTCTCCATTGTTGCGGAAGAAAGTTGTTAGTCCGCTGGTTAAATGAGAACGAGCAGAATTAATAGGCGAATACGTTACTGTCACAGTATGAATAGTTCAGTGTGATTCCTTCCGGGTATCTTTACCTACGTGAAGATTCACTTCCATTCAACAAGCATGAAAGCACTTCGAGCTCGTTCAGACAATGCAAACGTGTAAACACTGCTAATTACATCCTTGTTTTCAATTATTCGCGGAAAGAAATCCAGGAAAAATTATTATTCAATTTACTAGAAACGATCTAAAGCTATTTTGTGTAAAACTTGAAATTTTATACAAATTCTCAATTACTCTTGAAAAAGAAGTCTACGAAAAATTATTAACTCTGGTAAAAATGATCGAGAGCTGTTTCCGAGTGAACACTTGAAATTTTATTCAAATTATCAATTACTCTTAAAAAATAAATCTACGAAAAATCTATAAAAAATTATTGCGAAATAAAATCGGCTAAAAATGATCGAAATTTGCTACAGAAAGCATTTTCTGTGTAAACACATGAAACTGCGTTCAGATTGTCAATTATTTGTAAAAAATAAATCTAAGAAAAATTTCTAATAAATTATTACCGAACAAAATCCGCTAAAACTGATCGAAATTTGCTACAGAAAGCATTTTCTGTGTAAACACATGAAACTGCGTTCAGATTGTCAATTATTTGTAAAAAATAAATCTAAGAAAAATTTCTAATAAATTATTACCGAACAAAATCCGCTAAAACTGATCGAAATTTGCTACAGAAAGCATTTTCTGTGTAAACACATGAAACTGCGTTCAGATTGTCAATTATTTGTAAAAAATAAATCTAAGAAAAATTTCTAATAAATTATTACCGAACAAAATCCGCTAAAACTGATCGAAATTTGCTAAATACATTTTCCGTGCAAACTCTCGAAATTATATTCAAATTATTAATAACTTGTAAAAGAGAAGTCTATAAAAAGTTTCTAATAAATTATTACCGAACAAAATCCGCTAAAACTGATCGAAATTTGCTAAATACATTTTCCGTGCAAACTCTCGAAATTATATTCAAATTATTAATAACTTGTAAAAGAGAAGTCTATAAAAAGTTTCTAATAAATTATTGTCAAACAAATTCCGCTAAAAATTTCAAAAATCTGCTGAAGAATACATCGAAATTACGCTAAAATTGAAAGAAATCTGCGAAAAATTTGCAATTTTTATTACTAAATAAAATTCGCTAAACAACACACTTCGATGTAAGCTCATTTCCAAGAGCCCCTTCGTCACTTTCTGCCTTCGCATTTGCGCCATTTTGCTTGCGTTTGCACGGTGCACGTGACACGCCGTCCAATGACTTCACGGAAAAGTGTTTTCCCTTACGCAATTCGAAGCTCACGCTTCCGGAAGCGAGCCGATCATCGACCTTATAATCCCCTTAAGAGATGCACTTCGAAACGAGTATCTACCTGTTATTAGATTCAGGTCACCGATCCGCAACAGACGGTAGCAATAGTCTCACCTGGCTCATTAGCGCCGCTCAAGTACCACGAATTTATGCTACTGTTCGATCTCTAGCTTCGGGCATATTCCCAGCACGATTTCTCAGATCCTCGGTTCTTGCATTAGAGAATTCTCGGTGGTATCCTGGATAGATCGGTATCGCGGAGTAGAAATTTCACCGATGCGTGAAATTGTTCATTGGTAGCTGTTAGTGGAGTGAATTGAGTGGTAAGAAGGTTGCTGATGCTGAAGGTGCAAGTGTATCCTGTAATTTCGAGGTCAGCTTAATTCGTCCATGTTGACTCAGCGTTGTGGAATTCTCGTTACACGTCCATTTTCTCAACTTCCTTATTAGTCTCTTAATAAATCGGAGGATATTCCTTTTTCAACTCGTAAATTTAACCCTTTACAGCCGCAGGACTGCGTACTAATTATTTGTATCGCTTAACGCATAATTCAGTCACCATATCAATTTTTATTTTTTAACTGAATTATACAAAAATTATATTTTTACTCTCAAAATGAGAGTTTCAATAAGTCGGAATATTCCCATTTTTCTCTTAAATTTAACCCTTTACAGCCGGAGGACTGCGTACTAATTATTTGTATCGCTTAACACATAATTCAGTCACCATATCAATTTTTATTTTTTAACTAAATTATACAAGAATTATATTTTTATTTTCAAAATTTATTTTTATTGCTTGAAAATAAGTGACTTCGTAGTACTTCGCGAAGATCATTGTGAGTCCTACGTCCTCAAAGGGTTAAATCTAAATAAATTTGAGGCCTTTGATGGAAAAGTGACAGATAGGCTTTTCACTTTTTATTAAATAATACGACAACGAAAATATAGAAAGCAATTTCCTTAAAATGGTGCCTTGGCGTATTTACCCTTTTCCCATGAAACACCTCAATTGCAAATTTCACAGATCCTTACCTCGTGAAATATCATCGAAGAAAGTCGAGAATTTAGCCTGACAGAACCGGTGTTTCCGTCGTTTTCACGGTTTCAAGTCGCGTGCAACCTGCGACCTTCGCGGTCTCACAGTCCTGCATACCTCTAGGCAAGTGAATCGAGGATGCTCGATCGGCCCAGTGGCACACAAAGCTACCCGAAGAAAAAGACGATGCCTTTTAGACCTTGTTCTCCACTTCCTAGCGTACGAACTAAGCGGGGAGGTGGATCTAAAGAGGGAGCATCCTCAGTTTGGCGACAGTGTTTCGTTCGATCTGCCGCTTGTCTTCCTGTCGCGATGACTTTCCAATCGTTTCGTTAAACAGCCTAAGTGTTACGCGGTTCGAGAACCGGTAAAGGAAGCTCGTAACTCAATTGCGATCTCACTTCCTGCACTTCGTCTTATTTTCCCTCCTATTGAAATACACATGCAAACTAATCGTTCGATCCTTTTTTACATACTTTTCCTTCGATGCAAAGAAAAAGGAACAAGAAAGAGGATGCTCTCCACAGAACGTTAACCACGCACAATCGAGATATCTCTGTTCCTCCTATATCACTTATTCCATGAATCACACACATCTGTGCGTGGCACGCGAAGTCGGTCCAATTCCTTTTCATTTCGATGCAAAGATATTTTTCCTTCTTCCCTCCACAGTGGAACGATGCAATTAAATAGGAGCACGAAGCGTGATCCAGGGTGAAACGAGGATCACGGCGTGTGTATTGCATCCAGCGACGTACAATCGACTGATTCCGTGAAACACGTGTGCACAGCAAATGCATTCACGCTCTGTATGTCGTAACTGCTAATTGCGGTTTCCCCTATAAAAATGACCACCCGTTCTATCGGCCAGTCCGCGATGAACATGCTTCCACGTACGATCCTCGCTCTGATCCTGCACGGCCTCGCGGCCACCTGTTCCGCCACTGTTCTGCGCGAACCTTCCTACGGCGATGCTTCGATAACGATAGATTGCAGTTTAGGAGGGAGTTACGGGGATTGTGCTGCGAGGAAGATGAAGGAAGTTCGGAATGGGACTGATCAGAGTGTGGCTAGGGTGGCTAGGATGAGTGGGGACGAAGAATTGGATGATGGAAGTGTTGGAGAAATGGATGGTGAGTTGTGAGGGGATTTGAGGGTGAAGGAGTTGAGTAATTGGGAGTGATTTATGGTGTAGAGTTCAATTGGATGGTTGAAATGTTGGAGAGTAAGAAGATTTAGGGTTGAAGGAGATGAATAATTGTGAGAAATTCTGGTAGATCGTGGTTTAAAAAATGGAGAGAGAAAGAGGAGCTTTTGCTTCTTTTACAGAAGTTTAGTATACAATTTATTCTTTCAAGTTATTCTTGAGAATTAAGTAAATTACTGCGTTTGACACATGCTGTTTATTAAATTTTAGTGTCAGGAGTCAGTATGCATTAGAAAAATGTAAAATAATAAAACACCCTGATCTCGGATGTTTTAAAAATGTAAAATACTCTGATCAGAGGTGTATTAAAAAATATAAAATACCTTGATCACAGGTATTTTAAAAATATAAAATACTTTGATCACAGGTATATTAAAAAATATAAAATACCTCGATCACAGGTATCTTGAAAAGTATAAAACACTTTGATCACGAAATTTATTAATTCTGCTTGAACTGAATTAAAATTCCCTTTAATTGGTAAATAACATATGCAAAATTATAAACAAATACACATTACAATACAAAAATTTTCCAAACCAGATTTACCAATTATACAAAATCATGATGAATGACTAATACACTTGCTCTTACTAGCAAAGGCGTTAATAATAGCAAAATACACACGCTGTTTTTAAGGGGAATGAGTACGTTCCGGTCAGACATCTTCAATCCACGTTCTACCAGCTTCACCGAACGACATCTCCCGGCGATATTCTTCTTTCCTAAGGGAAGTACACCTCGTGAAGATGTAGACTACGTTCTCGTGAGAACGTTTCTTCGTACTCACCCGAGTTACCAGCTAATTATTCAATTACTCCATTAACGTCGTCGTATGCTTCCTTTTCAGCGCTATCTAGGCAAACGATCACGCGCATCGCGTGACAACTCGTCCCTTTCGTTGTTCATTCGATCACCATCTAAATTAACTGTTCATTTAATCTTATTCTCCCGTGTGAACACTTCACAATTACCCCCTTTGCTTTTCTTTTTCCAGAAACTGCACGGAGGAAGAAGGGCAAAGGATACGGCCAGATGTTGCTGTACTTCCTAGGTGCTTCGAAATTAACGATGCTTTACGTGGTAATGAACGCCGTCACCGCGATTGCTGGAAAAGCTCTGGTTGTCGCCAAAGTTGCACTGGCCATTGCTACAGCTCTAGCACTGAAGAAAGCCACTGGTCTGTCGATTCTTTCTATTTTTTTTGACGAAAGTAGAGGAAGTATATTTTTAGCTGCCTACGCAGGCAGATTTGTAATTTTGATTTCACTTTCAGAGCAAAAGGAGAATGTGTCGTATGAGATAATCAAGCATCCTCACTACAGCCAGGAGAACACGCATACTTCCAGCGTCGACTTCGATCCTCACGGTGGCTACGAGAACGATTACCGCTACCGGAAACGTAGAACGCATCATTAGCCTCGTTTCGAATACTAATCCGATCTGTAATTCAATTGTTTACAATTGGAAAAATTGTAAGAAAAATTCCATCGACTTTTATCGATTAAAAACCAATCATTACCATGTGAAAAATTTGATATTGTAATAAAAACAGGAAGCACGTACTTTTGGCGACAATTTTTATTAACGTCATTCTCACACAATATACAAATCACGTGAATATTAATTTTCTTATGAGACACTTACACGTACAGAATAAATAAAATAAATACAGTATTATTAATTTTTGGTACAGCATTCTAAATAAATAAATAATCAGCTAGAGTACCTATATGTAAGGTATAATAAATAACAAGTACACTATCGTATTTCATGCAATAATTTCATCTAGAAACTAAGGTTACTCGGACACAATTACGGACAACGTGGAATGTTTATTTTATAATACAATCGAGAAGTATCTTCTTACTTCCGTACGCTAAGTAGAAATATACATGAAATAAATCTTTATGTAATTTATTCGATTCAAGTTGGAGGAACGCCAACGTTCTCCATGGTTCTCTGCCATCCGCCGCCGCCGCCGCCTCCGCCATAACCTCCGCTATATCCTGAATGATGATCAGCACCTGTCGCGTAGATCACTTCGTGTCCACCGCCGCCTTGACTCGACACTAGCTTCTTCAACCCGATTATTGCACTGAGAACTAACGCTATTTTCGCCGTGAGCAACGCTGTTCCTGCCAGGAAGGCGATTTTTCCGTAAGCTAGCTGGGCCATCATTGCTAAAAAATCATGAATTTTTTTAATATTATTATTGTACTTTTTAGAAGAAATATTATTGGAAAAATAAATGTCTTCGGGAGGAGTTACCTCCTACAGCCAGAGCTCCCATCATTAAGGCCCCGTATCCTTTGTCCTTCTTCTTTCGACCTGAAGAAGTAAATTTAAAAAATTAGAGAAATTCTTGGTTCGGTAAAATTCGGGATAATCGAAGTTTGCTCAGGTTTCGTACCTTGAAAAGCATCTCCAGGAATAGTGAGTTTAACGCTCCTAGAAGCAATGTACTCGTGGAACTTGTTATCCAGTTTCTGGTCGAGAGTCAGCTCCGTTCCGTTCGCATCCTTGAACGATCTATCGATACTCCTGGCAGCAGCGACAGGATCTCTTCCAATGGAGATATATTCGTTCAACACATACACTGAATCGTCTCTAACAGCTGAATCGAGGATATCTAACGCTCTTTTCTTCAAACAATCGAAGGCGTTCTTCTCGTTGGCGCATTTGTCGAACAATTTCGTGTATTCATTTTTACTATGCGCAAAATTGAACAGTAACACCAGATGCAGAAGAAAAATGATACAGTTGGAACTAATCCTCTTCATTGTGTTGTTAAAGGAAGAAAAAACAATAAACGGTGTACGAATACGGAGAAAGCACTGAAATCTCGAGGTTAACCTCGAACTTTATTCTACACTGGTCAAGTTATCCGCTTGAAAAATAAAGCGAACTAATTCGTATTGTCCGATGGCTGCTCTTTTATAAGGGTATTTCGCTGTTTCTCCTACCATCGAGGCGACTCGTCCTTACAACACCGGCTCACACCTGATCCACGCGCTGTTTAACGCCTCCTTCTACCGGAGGAGGGACTCCTGAACCAAAACAATGTCGTACAGCCCCGTAGGTAAGTATCCCTCTGACCTGGTTGCCAAGTGAAGCCTAAACCCCCGCAGAACAGCCCGCGAATCGGAATTAAAGGCCAGCTCTAACGAGTATCGCCTCGGTCGGGGCCGTAAAATTTTCTTTTTGCTCTGCTTACAACTCTATTGTTTAATCTTTCATACGATTCGGACGGTGTTTAGAAATTTGGAAACTCGGAAGCTTCCGAGAGGAATGCCCCGGTGGGAATGCGTAGGTGAATATTTTGCTCGGGGACCTGGAAGTTTCGAAACTTGGAAGCGTTCGAGAGGAATATTTGAGTGCGAAGGTGTCCATAAATTTTTTACTTCGGGACTTGGAATATTGGGAAATTTGAAATTTTGGAGTGGAGTTCTCCGATAAAAATGGGCTGGCAAAGATTTTATTTGGAAATTAAAAATTTGGGAAAAACGAAATTTTGGGGAAATGACCTCCGCTAAAAATAGGCTCGCGAATTTTTCACTCGGGGATTTAGGAATTTGGGAAATTTGAAATTTTGGAGAGATGACCTCTGCTGAAAATAGGCTCGCGAATTTTTCACTCGGGGATTTAGGAATTTGGGAAATTTGAAATTTTGGAGAGATGACCTCCGCTAAAAATGGGCTCGCGAATTTTTCACTTGGGAACTTAGAAATTTTTGAGAGAACTCCCAAAAAAATGTCTTCCTGAATCTTTCTCTTGGGAACTGAGAAAGTTGGGAAATTTTAAATTTCCAAGAGAAATTCTCAAAGAAAAATGAATTTATAAACATTCCACATTGGGACTTACAAAGAAAACTTAGAATCTCCAGAGACAAGTCCACCGATAAAAATTTGCCCATAACTCTTCCACTCGGTACCCCTGAAACTTAAAATCCTCGAAGCAGCAATTTAAGATCGCCTACCATATCTTAATTGCATAAGAATTTATGCAAGTGGTATGCAGTAGCGGGAGGCATAGAGAAACCTCCTCTTCACGTTCGACGCCTTTTTATTACTCAGCGAAAGTCTCGCATCGGTACAACACTATCGGAGTAACGTCCAGCGACTCCGTTGTTCCAACCAGCTACTCTCTTTAATTATACACGTCACCTGGTCGAATTAATCGCCGCGAATGGTTTTTCGCGCGCCTCGCTTGGATACTGTTAATCCGACACGGATTACGGACCGTGACGCGCCACATCCTCCGACAAACGACCGGAGCAATTACGCGAGGCACAAAATTTCATATTAAAAATGTCCACCGTTCCTTCACGGCCGTTCGAGCTCCGCGCTGAATATCCAGGACACTCCCCCTCCGATCTTTTCCGTTCGTCTCACTGTGTGACCGGGTAGTAAACGCAATTACCCTACTTCGTGTTAAAGGGGGAAAAAGAAACCTTAACAGCCTTATCACGGGGACTGCGTAAAAAGAGACAAATTCCGACGTTTCGTCACAGGTAATCGAGTATTGTCTCTCCATATTCAGGCCACCCTTCCTTCCACTTGCTGCTCCCTCAATCTCCTTCGGCCCAATAACCACCGTCGTTACCCTACTTTGTAAAAGGGAAACTTCCTTCGATGAATGAAACTTGTCTGGTAGAAAAATTTTTGGTGACCTTGAAGTTGACTTTATATTCGTTCAGACTATATACCGGTGCTTTACACCGATAGTAGCGTGACTTGAAGAATAAATTCTACAGGAGAAGCGGTGTAAAATTTTTATTAGATTAATAGTGTATTATCCTGCATTGTGAAGTTTATTTAAAATTAAAAATGAGATTAGAAATTTTCTGAATTATGTCACTTTAATGAAAATCTCGATTAGACTAATAGTGTATTATCCTGCACTGTGGAGATTATTTACACACAAAAATAATATTAGAAATTTCTTGAGTTACGTTACTACGATGGTCGCCGTTTCACCGTTTTATCCAACGATGATTTATTTCAAAAAATTGACGAACGTCGGAGTGACAATTTTTTGCAGAGATTTGATAGAAACAGTGGGGGGAAATTCGAAGACAGAGAGGACCGTTACCACGAGACAAAGAGCATCGTCACGCACGTTCGACGCGGTCAGCCAAGTGCAGAAATAACTCAAACAGCGACGCCGCGGGCCGTGAAACAGCAACGGAAAACGAGCAACTTTTACGGTCGACTGTCGACTGTCCCGGTAATGTATGCCCCGCGTTCATCGTCATACTTGACATAAGGAGTTGCAAGCACGTGGCGCGAACGTTCACGGGACCATGAACGCTGTTACCTTTAAAGCGTTTCCCGGACGCGTCGCCTCCCCCTTCTGCTCGAGGAAACCACCGGTACAGTTACGCGACACGATAATGGACTGCGACTAATGGGTTTATACGGGAGTGAAAACAGCGAGGATCTTCTTTCGAGTCGGTCTCCAGTTCAATCTCGTGAAAACGACAGTGAAGAGACGTGTAGAGGCTGGAAATTAATTTTTGGCTATTGAGAAGGGTAAATGAGAAATTAGTAAGTTAGTGGGAAATTTGTTTGGGAGGGGAAATATCAAAGATCTTCTGGAAACTGTGAAAAGGACAGTGAAGAGACGTAAAGAGAATGGAAATTATTTTTGGTTATTGAGAAGGGTAAATGGGAAATTAGTAAGTTAGTGGGAAATTTGTTTGGGAGGGGAAATATCAAAGATCTTCTGGAAACTGTGAAAAGGACAGTGAAGAGACGTAAAGAGAATGGAAATTATTTTTGGCTATTGAGAAGGGTAAATGGGAAATTAGTAAATTAGTGGGAAATTTGTTTGGGAGGAGAAATATCAAAGATCTTCTGGAAACTGTGCAAAAGGACAGTGAAGAGACGTAAAGAGAATGGAAATTATTTTTGGCTATTGAGAAGGGTAAATGGGAAATTAGTAAGTTAGTGGGAAATTTGTTTGGGAGGAGAAATATCAAAGATCTTCTAGAAACTGTGCAAAAGGACAGTGAAGAGACGTAAAGAGATTGGAAATTAATTTTTGACTATTGAGAAGGGAAAATGGGAAGCTAATAAATTAGTAGGAAATTTATTTGGGAGAGGAAATATTGAGGATTCTTTGGAAATCGTGAAAAGGACAGTGAAGAGACGTAAAGAGACTGGAAATTAATTTTTGACTATTGAGAAGGGAAAATGGGAAGCTAATAAATTAGTGGGAAATTTATTTGGGAGAGGAAATATTGACGATTCTTTGGAAACCGTGAAAAGGACAGTGAAGAGACTGGAAATTAATTTTTGACTATTGAGAAGGGAAAATGGGAAATTAGTAAATTAGTGGGAAATTTATTTTGAAGAGGAAATATTGACGATTCTTTGGAAACCGTGACAAGGACAGTGAAGAGACTGGAAATTAATTTTTGACTATTGAGAAGGGAAAATGGGAAATTAGTAAATTAGTGGGAAATTTATTTGGGAAAGGAAATATCATGGATCATCTTTTGGAAATCGTGAAAACGACAGTGAAGAAGAGTATATAGACTGGAAATTAATTTTTGTCTATTGAGAAGGATAAATGGGTAAATTAGTAAATTAAAAATTGGGAAATTAGTAAATTGTAGTAAATTATAAATTGAAAATTGTGAAAAGGACAGTGAAGAGGTGATATTCCTCAGAGTACAGAGGGTAGATATTAATTTCAGACGATCGGGAAGGATAAATGGGGAAAGTTTCGATGAGAAAAATTTGTAGGAAGTTTATTTGGGTTTAGGTTAGTCGCTGAAGACTTCAAGCGCAATTTCACAATGGCAGTTTCGGTTCAACCATGACAACAGATCATTGACTTCACCTGGAATCCTTGTTTTTTTTTTATTTGCGCTTTGATGGAGCTAAATGAGGTATAATTGAAGCAATTAATTATGGCAAGTATCCTGGTTCGAGAGACTGCGAGGAAATCGCGTGGAATGCGGAAACGAGGGGAAAATTCTACGCAATTCATGTGGAACACTTCCTTGAACATAAAGTTTATTAAAATATTTGGTGATTATAATACTGAATAAATATAACCTAAATTGAATCATCCTGGAAGTTAATTCGCATTTTCTAACCTTAAAGTTACTCAAATAACCTTGGTGTAACCTCGAATGATCCTAAATAACCATGAATCCCTTCCTGAAATTTCAAATAATCTCTGGATGACATTTTCACAAATCAAATGACCTTGATGAAGCTAAAAATGATTTTTAAATTACCTCGAATGACTAAAATGAACCTAGCCCTATTTATCCGAATGAAAAATATTTTCCAAAAATTCCACAGCCTTCAGGATGACCCAAAACTATAGCTACAATAAAAATTGCACCTTTGGACAACGACGAAAGGTACACAGTAACGAGATCAATCACAGTCACATCAGCTACTCTTCACCCAAACGAAATTCTTCCCACTTCGTTTGTTCTTCCCCACTTCCTCGCTGTTATCGTAAACGTCGACGACCTCTCTGATCACGTGCTGAGTGTACGGTTCGAAATGGTTACCTTGATATCCTCTGTACGGTCTATGTTGGAAATTATGCTGTTCGTAGTAAGGAAATCCTCCTATAGGCGTTTCCTGACCGTACGTATGGTATCCTCCCCCGGGTGGATAGGGCGCAGAAGCCGTGGACCATAGTGAGTTCCAGCCTAACAGACCGCTGATCAGCAGAGCTATCTTCGTCAGCAACAGAGCCTTCTTCGTGAGCAAAAAGCAGCGGTATCAAGGAGGCCAGGTTGAACTTGAAGCCTAACAGGAACGGTATCAGCAGGTGTCTCATCATTTGCCTTCCTAAACAGAAGAAAGTTGCAGGACAGGATACGGATAACCTTGTTTAAAAATAGAATTGGAAATGATAGAGCTGACGGAGTCTATTAATAGAAACTGGACCTAGCTGAGTCAGCACGAACGTATCTTAGATCCTACGTGTTCCGAAGTATCCCAGAATCGTAAACGACACTTCGTATCACCGTTCTTCAAGGTGAGTGGCCTTGACCGTGCTGCCTACTGGAGGTAGCTTCTGAAAGCTCTGTCTTAGCCAGGATACGAACCCTGGAGAACCGTGGGTTCGTGTCCAAGCTAACTTAACGATATTCGAAGAACCTGACCATCTCAGGATCTACGATCTATTTGGTAGATTTAACGTAAGATTCTTGAATGAGAAGAGTTGTAGAACTCACCTGGACCAGCTTGCCTGTCTCCAAAAGCACCGGATCTCTCGTTCATCACAAATTCCAGCATCCCGTTGCCATTCAACATTGGTCCAGCTCGCAACTGTAATCCTGGATAGAAATTATCCAAATTCCACTTCATACTTCTACGTTCCATCAATCTAGTCGCTGCTTTCACGATATTTCCGAAATCTTTCGGATCGTAGTCCCAATCTAGCAACTCTCTGCCGTAACCGTCAGCTCTCTCCAAATGTACCTCGCCAAAATCTAGATCGTCTATCTGATTGAACGACTGCAGAGCACTCAGAGCACCGCGATTCGCGCACTCGAGCGTCCCGAACTCTTTTCTAGCTAAACAGGAAGCAAACGCCTCGTTGAAGCTCCCCGAGTCCTCGTTATTCAAGATCGTCTCCTCCGTCGACTCCATGATCACGGTAATTCCGCTGGAGACGAAGATTAAAAGGAGCAGAGCCCGTAATTCGTGTCTCATGATGATGATACTGGTTCCAGGAATGGGAATACGCACGGGGAAGATGGCGGAGAAAGTCGATAAGGTTCAAGGTGTGGGCCGTTGCTGATGAAAGTTCCTCGAAGCCGATTAAACCCAATTCTCCGCGCTGGGAAAAAATAATTCATGTCACGAGCGATTCCGTCCCACAGAGAAACTCTCAATATTTCCAATTTTCACCTGTTGAAAATATTCCTTCTCATTTTTAACGCTGTTTGCAAAACGGCGTAACAAAGACGTGGGTAACGTACGAAAGGATCGAGAAGAAAGTCGTCCGACCACCGAAACAATACTGTTCATCCAGCACCCACGATCAGCCAGCTATATAGGCGCGAAGGGGGCGTTCACACACGGCGGAACAATCGGTTTCACTCGGTGGATCTTACGAGCAGCGAAAGTAACTTCTTTTCATTTCGTACGAGCCTCCTCGATACACCGGATGCACAGGCCAATTTTCGTCGACCGGCAGTGAATCTCGTTAACATGTCAAAACGTCTCTCCTCCACGCTTCCCGGGCAAACCTGGAGAAATTCGAGACAAAGGGAAGACCGTTTCGACTCACTTCAGCCGTAGTCGATGATACCTGAGGAAAGTAGCCGAGCATATATATCTCCACCTTTTTAACACGATTATGCTCAATTAACGTCTTCACTCGTGTGTTCCTTGCGAGCAGCTCGCGAACTACGGCTGCGCGCCAATTAGCGAAGAAAGGTGATGGGAATGGAAAACACCGGTTGGTTTCGTATAAAATTAAGATTTATTTATAAATAGTTCGATAAGTTACATGGCGACCCTGCTGTCAGGGTTGAATATAAATAATCATTGGATGAAATCTGGTGGCCCTGTGCAGGCACTGACTACGAGTCCAACTTCGACGATTTGGACCTCTGGACAGGAGAGATCTCGTCGAAGCGACGACCCCTGAGGGCGTACCGCACCAGGGTGGTTCGAAGGTGCGCGACTACCACCTTTCACTGTCTCTAATAATCATAAAGTCTGTTATCTTGCTGGCTGTGTCACCGTGGCAATCGTAATCCTGCGTCGAAACTGTCCATAGACGTCACCAAAAAAAAAAAAAGACGGTCAACGGTCTAACAATTGAACTAGTCTTGTCAATCAGTCTGGTCAATAAATCGTCACAGTTCGTCACGTTCGGTCACTTGTCACGTATAGATAGAAACAGTGGTAAGTCCATGTGTGCGTGTGATCGGTAAACGATCCATCAGGTCGATTGCACACGAGTTCTCGAGGTCCTCGGAGGATCGAGTCGCGCAGCCCTCGGGTGATCGTGAAACGATTGAACGATCACTTTGGCGAACGAAGGTAGAGAGTTGAAACGAAGAGGCTACAGCGTGAACTATTCTGACGGCTTGTACGCGTTATACGCTAGATCGGAGCCGGACGATCTCGCCCAGCCGTGATGATCGTGATGCTCTTCGTGGCCGTAGGAGTGCACTGGATGAGCCACCACTTCGTAGCTTTGATGCTTGTTCCCGAGAAGTTTCTGCAGGCCGATGATAGCGCTGACGATGAGGGCGATCTTGCCGATCACGAGAGCCTTCAGCGCTAGGAGAGCCAGAGCACCGAGAGCGATGGGTATCAGAGCTGCAGCCTTCAGTTTCAGGAGCAGGAGGATTGGTAAGAGGGATTTCACGATCTTCTTCTTCTTTCCTCGAGCTGAAATTGGACATATACGTGGTTAGACCAGGAACCAAGTTAAAGAACAGTTATTCTTACTTTACGAGCGATAAATTTACCTTCGTCGAAGGAGCGAGAGACTTCCTCAGGCAGGCTAAGTTCTACGGTGTGGGTAGAAAGGAATTTGGCGGTTCTGTCTACCAGAGCCTCGTCAATGGCAGCTTCCTTCGCATCAGTCTCAGCTGGCAGAGTACTTTCGATGTCATTCAGAGACCTGGCGTTGTCAGCCCGGCTGCAAATTAATCGAATCCATTCAATACTCCCACTCTGTTACGCAAATCCTCGAAGCTTCGTTCACTTTCCGCCAAATCGATCCTTACCTGCTCTTAGCCTCCTCGGTTTGAACGATCTTGAATCCGTCGACGACGTCGATGTCCGCGGACCGCGCCGCTCTGTCCACGAAACGCAGTGCCTTCAGCTTCAGACACACCGAGACGTCCTCGTCGCCGGAACAGGACGCGTAAACGTCCAACGCCTCCTCGAGAATAGACGGCTGATCCTGGGTGGCAGGCGCGGCGAACACAGAGGCGGCTAGCACCGTGGCGATAATCACGTACTTGAACATGTCGGAAGTGTTACTCCGGGTTGGGTCTCACAAGGTAGAATTAAAAAAAAACGAACTGTCGATCCCTCGCGAGTTCGAACTACTGCGGCGATCGTATCGACACTGACCGAAAGAATCACGATTGCTGCCTTTTATCCTCGTCGCGAAAGGGGCCCGCGTACGTTTTTGAAATTTTGATGGCCCCCACCGATCGTGGGTCCCCGCCTGCCGCTGTGTTACAACCCATACGAGCTATTGGTTCTCCTCCAGGCGTTCCTCGTCCCGTGTTTCTCTGTCGTGCCGCGCGTCTCTCCCGTTGACGCGCCTCCACGCGGTCCTTCTTCGCTTCTCTCCTCTCTGGCTTGCTCCACCGCGGCGGTCACCTCGAGAACCAGCCCTGAGACGCTCTCCGCGCTCAGTGGTACTCCACCAGGGAGGGGAAATTCAGCTTGGGAAGATACTCCTGTCCACGCGCCTCTGCCCTTTTTCCAATTCGTCGATACCTTGGTCCCCTCGTAGCGTCAAAGAGTCTGCCACGAAGAGGTTATTGGAACGTCGATTCTCCTCCTCCGGGCACTTCCGGTGAGAGTCAATCGCTAAATTTTTCGGAAGAGGACGGACGATTCTCTTTTCTTCTTTTTTTCTTTTCGCTGGTGATAATTGGTTTGACATCTTCTGCAAATGGCGTTTGCTCCGTGGAATTCGGTTACTTTCTACGTTACGGGGTACCGTATTTGTTTCTGGAGAGAGACGAGCAAGGTGTATTTAGAAATCGAATATTCAGGGTCAATGATATTCACGGGGAATCGCTGTGGTGCTCAGGCTGTAATGGATTCCCGTGGCGTTGTCTAAAAATCGTTCTATAAATATAACGTTGGAACGAGTTACTCTCTCGTTGAACTTATTACCATATAAATGTTCGCTCGGGTATACGTTCGAGGAGAACCGTCCAAATTTAATTATCCTCGAAAATCCTTCTTCCAACGTGATACGGCAATCGTAGGAGAATGAAACTTGTTCGAGAAAATGGTGGAAATTTTTACGAGCGATTGTTCTTTCTAAGGTAGAAGGTGTGAAGAGAAGGATCGAGGAGACGAAGGAGGATCGAGCGGCGATTTCGCTTTCAACAAGCCGTATAATGCCTCGCATTATGTTGAGGATACTTCAATCTCACGCCTCCGCAACTTTCCTCGTCGCGACGCTCTCCATAGGAGGAATCGTTCTTTCCTTCTCTAGCCTGCGCGAAAATTCTGTCAGCAATGCGAACGATCGAACGTTCTTCCAGAATTTTCTTCCGTCGTAACTGTATTCCTGTAATTAAACGAATTCCTGAGTGGATAGTTCTGTTACAGCTTCTTATTCATCCATATCGGAGATGTCAACAGGCGATGCTTTAAGCTCGATATTTGAAATTAATGTATTCGTGTGCTGTGCGACGGTCGCGAGGAACGTTTAACGGTTTTTCATGGAATGTTCGTGGACGAGTTGGGTCCGCGCCAGACCTCCTCAAGGAGAACAACCGGCCGCGCCTCGGCTTGACCCCGAAGAGACGTCTCGCCTAGAAAAATGGACGGAGAGAAGGAAAAAGATGAGAGGGCAGAAACGGACGAGCGGAGCGTCGTTTCCGATCACGCGACTTTCTCCGCGAACGAGCATCCTCGGACGTGTCATGCCGCCTCGAATGCCTCCATTCTGCTCTGTGGTCACTCTCTGCACTTTAACTTTACGAGAAATTCGTTCTTTCGTTTTTCGAAGAATCTTCAAGCAGTGCTTTGTGATTGCATTTCGGCTGCGGTAAGATCGAGACAGTTTTAAGTTTTAAAGCAAACTGATTCGCAAAGGTGAGGAAGAAAGTAGGGTCTTCGAGAAAGCAGTGCAAGAAATTTTAGTGCGATATTTTGTAATGATTTCTGTTCGTTGTGAGCACGCTAGTGGTAGTCAATAGCTGATCGCTATAGATATGGGAGAAAATCAGTGTCTTTGATACTATTTTAATTTTGTGATTAATTACGCTTAAGTACGTCTTTTTAGGTGAAATTAACGTTAACCTGAAAATTAACCAAATTTGCCTACGTATTTCTAGCATGAAATATGAAAACATTGAAATAAATAAATTTCAGACGAACTTCTAATTTCAAGCAGCAAGTAGTAACAAACACAACATTTTATAGTTGTTATTTTAACGATAGATCTCCAGAAAAACCAGCTGCATATTCGCAGTTACTACACTCGGCTCTCAATTTCATAAAAGTTAAAAACAACCGACAACGAACTCGTTAATGTAACCCATGCGTGGAGACTTCAACGCTCTCCGCGCGGAGACTTCAATGCTCGCACGTGGAGACTTCAACGCTCTCCATCGATCCAGAAGCAAACAAATAAGATCGCCTGGAAGCAACTACAAACGAGTTCTACGATCATCTACCTGATGAAACGAAAGTGCGCGCAAACCACTGATCATCGATAGATCCAAAGGAAGAAGAAAAAAAAAGAAGAAAAGCAAATACGTCGAGAACGTGTGGAAAAAACGAGATGGAACGTTACATCTCTCCAACGAAGGACTTTCACTTTATCTCCATCAGCGGAGACTAACGTCCGTCAATTTCGATTGTTTTTTTCTTCTGTCTTTCTTCGACGAACCAGCCAAGAAGCTTCTCGTACGTACGTTCGAATCGACCGACTCTAATCGTCGAACCGTGTCACGAACGCGCGTGTAACACGTGACACAGCGATAGAATTTGTATTAGCCGCGTGTGCGGGGCCACTCTCGTGGACCAAAACGCTAATCCGAATGGCGAAGAGAGGCGGCTGCGAGGCTCGCGCGGCTGGTAATGGAACACTTTCCTCTCGACGACGCCGGCGAGAGTGAACTCGCCTGAGGATCGAGGTCAGGTCAAGGCCCCCACGAAGAGAAGCCTCGAGCTTCGTCGTATTCTCTCTTCCTACCTATTCTCGCTTCTTTCTCACCCTCCGAGAACCCTGCCCACGAATATTCGTGTGGGGAGAGTGTTCGATTCTGGTTGGACTTCGATACTTGCACCTGTTACTTCCTGGAATTTCCTGAAGAAGTTTATGCGGTATTTAATTCGCTCCGATGATTGAGCATACGTTGAATAATATTTCGATTAATTTTTCTCAGAATGGATTTCATTATCTATCGCATTCCTTTGTACGGAAAATTTTTAGCGTATACAGGGTGAGCTATGAGATTCACGGAAGGTCCAAGTAGAAACCGTGTCCCGTTTCGACTAATTGACACGGAGAAATGTCCAGACATACAGTCTGTCTGTTTAACACAAAAAAAAAAGACCGATCCTCGAGTCCAATTGTGGACTATGAATGAGCAGTTCCGCCGAAGAAAAAGTAGTTCGTCGAAAAGAATCAGACACGCGTCTGGCACGGATGAATGAAACGGCGATATGCACATATTCTTTAAAAAAAGGAACACTCGTGCCGTTGGCAGAAAAAAAGAGCGAAACAGAAGCGCAACTTTCCATATATGTACCTCCGCCGCCACATGAATGAACCTCGATCCTCGAACCCTAACAAATCCTCGCACTGTCCCACTTTGTCAAGCTTGCGATGCCTAATCGAATCTTCCGTTCGGACAACACGTGCTCCTGAATCAGCTAGAGAAACGAGGTGAAGAATTCCAGTGGCTCTCGAGGCGAACTTTCGGAAGTACGAAGAAGAAGGGCCATCTTCGTGAACGGGACCACCTGACTCGAGGATGCTGTGTTTGAGGATCGATGAACCTCGGCGGTGGCTCCGCGAGATGGAGAAAGACGGAGAGATCGATCGGGAGAGACTTCGGTAGGGGGAGAGTCGTGGCAAGTGGAGAGGAAGAGACACGCAGCTTTTTCTCTCCAGGATGGTAGAGAGTGTTAGGCGCACGTTGAAAAGGCACGGCGCGGATGCTGACTGGCCTGGTCGGCCTGGTTTACTTCTCGGCCGTGTGTCTGGCTGGTGGAGCGCGCGCGAGCGCACGCGTGCTTCCAGGTCCCGGGCAAGTGCGTAAGGTGCCCGTGCGCGCGTTTCCAGTATGTAGGTAACGTGACTCTGCTCTCTTCGTCTTCTCCCGCGAGGAGGAAGGCGGAAGTGCCCGCGCTCTCATGGCCTGCATCGAGGATACGCGTGAAATATCGACCGATCCGATCCGCGGCTCTCGTTTCATTGAGTGTTACTTTCAACGAACCCCCCTCGGAATTCGTCGACATTCTTCTAACTTCGCTCGCCGCGCCATTTTTACTTCCTGCCGAAGTAGTACTCTGACTCCTTTAAGACGATCTATTGTTATCGTTAAGGTGTAATTAAATGTAGGAACAGGTAAATAAATGAAAGCAGATGACCGGCGTTTGGTACAAACAAGTCATTCTTAATATATTTCTTTATCTATAATGTATATCTATACATGGCTGCCACGCAGCTCCGCGGTGAACAATAAATACTGAGGATGAGAGGATCCAACGAACGATCTACGGTTCGAGGAGGAGAGATGAGAGGAGGATAGAGGAAAGAACGAGATGCAGGGAAGATTGAAGGAGTCGTGTGAGGAAGAGCGAACGTTCGAGGAGGAAAGCGAGGCTGCTGCCCCGTGAAAGCGAAGTCTAACGAGATTGAAACGGCCACTCGTTGCGGTCCCTTTGTTTTCCTAGGTGGAGGATGGCTTGTAGGCGGAATAGGCGAGGTCGTGGCTCGATCTCGCCCGTGGCCTCCAGCTACCTGTACCACTTCGTGGCCTCCGTGTTCTCCGCCGCCTGACACGAGCTTCTTCAGGCCTATGATCGAAGCGAGCACTAAAGCGAGCTTGCTGACGATCAGAGCTTTTCCGGCTAGAAGGGCTAGAGCTCCGAGGGCCAACGGTACGAGAGTTCCTCCGATCAGCAGAGGAATCGCGAGCAGTCCACCCATGTTCTTCTTCTTCTTGCGACCTGACGAGACGAGTTTAATTGAACAAACTGAACGATACAGGCGGTGGAGGATCGAGCCGATGTTAAGTACGGTTGTACGGCGAGTTAAGAGAAAAAAGAGTGGGCCATACGGTCTACTGGACCGGGAAATCGGAACCGGAAACTTTCTTTTTTCGGATCACTGCCCTAACGAACAATTGACTCGGTCAGATCCAATTCTGACTCGAGAGATTCTCACCTTCCTCAACGAGACTTCGCTGAAGCTCCTCGACGTTAGGTAACTTCAGCTTCAACGTGTGACTCTGGAAGAACTTCATCACCTTGTCGAAGATCATGGTGTTCAACGCGTCCTCCTTGTCGTCCAGAGCTCTAGGCAAGCTAGCCTCGATTTCCTGAAGAGATTTCGGTGGTTCCTCCACGTTCGTCGCTCGATCCTCTTGCACGATCGTTACACCGTCTGCTACGTTCAGTTGAGAGCTTCTGGACACCCTGTCTATCGCTGAGAGCAGTCTTACTTTCAGACAGGGACTCAGGTCCTCGTCTGCACATTCTTTGTAGGTCTGGTACATCTGTCGGAGATCGCCGAAGACGTTGCTGTTCCCTGTAGACCTTGCCGTTTGGTCGTTGATGGAGTTCGTTCCTGGACTGGTCTCCGCTGACCTCGCCGAAGCTAGCGCCAGGAGAAGGGCTAGGTACAGGGAACAGTGAGAGAAGTGTCTCATCTTGGACGAATTGCTAACCTGGAAGCAGAGATGAAATTTATGAAAAAATTGTGAGAAACACTTTTTATTTCATTACCGACGCGATGAAATCAAGATACGCTTCAACTGCCCCAATTAAGATTTCTATCACAACTTGAGATACTGCTTTATTCTGGCCAACTATTCTCACCGAAAATTCGTCACAGAGTCGAATAAATTAAAGAGCAGTGACTCGAGAAATAGAAAATCAGACCACGCCACAGCTCTTCCACCTCGTACACCTACCAAAACCGCTATCTACAGCGCGATCCACGTCGAGAAGAGCCGAAGGAATCTGCTTCTCGCCTCTCCGCTGGCTAATCTCGTCGCGAAACGTCCTACGAAAACTCGAGTGAGCACCTCCTACCGCGAGATGCGTGCGTACAGAGAGCACTGTAACTGGACTGTCCGTAACGGAAGCCCTGCCCTAGCTCTATATATCTGGTCAGGTGTACCTCCGTGGCTGGCGATATTCTCCCCACCGTGGTGTCCGCGGCGTGTACACGTACCTACACCACCACTGTGGGAGAATTTTCATTACCAAGGATCACTTGAGACGAACCGTCTGACCAACCACCTGGGAACCACGGTTCTGTTCCTCTCAAGAACGGAATTTCGCCGTCCCTCCTTTCCACCGACATCCCACTCGAGTAGACCAGGATAAAACCGGCGTTTCCGACAGATCGTTTCGCTACTCACCAACTGACCGTCGTCCTCGCCCTTGTCGCTCGACTTCCATTAGCGAGAGGACCGGTCTAACCAGTCTCCGTTTTACAATCCTCGCTCTTCTCTCCCTTCTAGTTACTACACCTTCACCACGTGTCCACCGTCCTACTATGATCCTTTTGTTATCTCCGCCGCGAATCTCTCGATAAGCCTGAAATCGAAAGCGTCGTCGAGAGACACACACGAGGTCGATTAACCCGAAGATGCTGTAACGACGTGTACACAGTCCGTATATATGGTAACGAGTTCATAGCAGCTTAGGCCATATTCCACATGTACATATGACACGAATAAAAATAGAAACTCAACGATGCTAATTCGTGTACAGTTAGCCTATCGGTGTACTATTCATATCACTCGTGCCGGTTCGCCTCCTCTTTTTTCCCTCTTATCCTGCGTTACATACGCGCGCATCCTTGCCATTTTTCGTCCTAGGCGGAGGGGCCGTGAAACTGGGTCACACCAAGTGAAAACGCTGTACACAGTGGATACACAGAACAAGAGCGTAGGCTGTGAGAGTAGAAAGAGGGGAGTCGGATCGTTCTCTTAATGTTCAGGTTCACGAGCGCAGTGAAGCATCGGAAAGCAGCGAGGCAAGACTGAAATTTCGGTGGGGAACAACGGCTGCCCCTTATTTTTCTTCTCCTCTTTACCCTCTCCCACGCTTCGAGCCACTTCTACGAATGAATCAGCCACGAAAAACGTCGATCGAGGACACCATGTTGCTTCGGGATAAACAAAGCTGATGGTAGAAAATAGAACTCGATTTCTCGTGTCGGTGTGGTACACGTGGAAATGATCTCTGCAAGTGTGGCGAAAGCGACAACACGACGATCCTGGAGGGAGCACACCTACGATCACCTCCGGTATCCTTCTTCGACCTCGTGATTTCCTGCACAGAGCTACCGTTCGACGATGTCACGCGCCGCTTCTCTGCCAATGAAACAGTCCTGTCAACCTTGTCTCCCCTACTCCCATTAGCCTTCTTCGCGAATAAACGAGCGTTTGATGCAAACGAGCGTGTGCGTGCGAGATCGTGCGTACGGTATGCAGGTTACCGGTTGGAAGTTCGCCGTGCATCCGGTTTCCCCGCCACGGCTAATCTATCAGCTCGAGTAATGAGGGTGTTTTCGCGAAAAATGCCACGGTTTACGAGCCATTAAACGACGCTAGTCCCGGAGAAGCTGGGTCAGCTGAGGCACGGTCTACTGGATTGCTGCACTTTAACGACACTGTTTCATTTTTTCTTTTTTCTTCCGTGGAACAGCTGGTAATTTAAGCTTGACGAATATTACGAGGTATTTTAGAGAAGCCTTCTGAGGCTGCCTTTTTTTTTTAAGAAAGAAGTCCAAGCAAGTGTATACTTTCTATCTGGTCGGAGGTATCAATGAGTGTGATACTTTCACTCGTTTTCATAAGTATATATATAGGAGATGTGTTATTCTTATGTGATTAAATAGTTAACGAGAACGTTCCTGAGAGGGATGATACTTGTTTTGTTATTTTCATTCGTAGCTCACGTGGTTTTCTTTGGGACAAGACGCAGCGCGCCGTTCGCCATCTCTTTATTACAAAGAAACAAACATTGCAGGCAATAACAAATAGCACACGTATGTATGTATGGTTCGAAGATTGGGTAAAAATTCAAAATAAATACTAGGTCGTGTTAGGCGCTGTGGAATAAATAACAAGGCTCGCGGTTACGCTATACATGGGAACGAGTATCTCGTGGAGGTACTGGTTCGTCAATAAAGAAAGAAGGATGGAGAATTAGGAAGAAAGAATGGAAGGAATAGAAGAGAGAAGTGAAGAGCGTTCAGATGTATCGACGAGGATAGGAACAATAAATATATGTATAAAATAGAGAGCGAGATAGTATGACGAAGGATACGAAGGAATGAGGAAAACGAAAGGGAAGAGAAAAAGGTTAGGGAGGAGAGAAAAAGTGGAAAGTGAAGAATGTCGAAGGACGAAAACTTTCTACGAGACTCTTCATGCTTGCGGTTGAGGTTGATGAGCGCGATAGGCCAACTCGTGAGCATCCTGAGGCAGACTCCTTGCCCATCCGTGGCCGCTGCCTCCGGAGTAACCGCCGCCATAATCGGCGCCACCGCCGCCATAACCGCCACCACCGTGGCCTTCGTCGTGGCTGACGACGTGGCTGCTGCTGTGATGAGGATGGGACACTACTTCGTACGTCACGTGTTTTCCGCTCGAGCTCAGCAGTTTCTTCAGACCGATGATAGCAGAGATCACCAGGGCTATTTTACCGACGAGCAAGGCTTTGCCGGCGATCGCGGCTATAGCACCGAGGGCCAATGGCAAAAGGGCTGCAGCCTTCAGGGCCAGGGCCATCAGCAGAGGTCCAAGAATTTTCTGGGCCTTCTCTGTAAATTTTAGAAGATCGTTAGGTAAGAATGACTGTGGTGGGATAGATGAGTAGTGGAATTTTGTGGGTCAGTTGAGTAGCTATGTGGTTCGTTGAGGTGTTTTAAAGGATTCGAAGAAGAGATTAGGAAGATTATGCAGAAATGACAGTGGAAGGATAGATGAGTAGTGGAATTTTTTGGGTCAGTTGAGTAGCAAATTTTGAAAAATTCGAAGAAGAGATTAGGAAGAGTATGTAAAAATGACAGAGGTAAGATAGATGAATAGTGGAATTTTGTGGGTCAGTTGAGTAGCTATGAGGTTCGTTGAGATATTGTAATAGATTCAAAGAAGAAATTACGAAGACTATGTAAAAGTGACAGAGGTAGGATAGATGAGTAGTGGAATTTTGTGGGTCAGTTCAGTAGCTATGAGGTTCGTTGAGATATTGTAATAGATTCAAAGAAGAAATTAGGAGGACTATGTAAAACTGACAGATGAGTAGTGGGATTTTGTGGGTCAAATGAGTAGCAACGTAGTTCATTGAGTTATCTTGAAAAATTCGTAATAAGGCTGTCGGAATTGTTGGGCATTCTGTGTCAAGGGTTCTGAATAGTAGAATTTTTCGAGATTAGGAAGACTATCAAACCTATTAGATACTCTGTGCTAAAGATTCTGAAGTGTAGAATTTTCGAAAATTAGGAGGGCTATCAGAATTATTAGGATCTCTGTGCTAAAAGTTTTAAATACCAGAATTTTGGAAGATTCCCAGAAGCCATGAGCTCGGGTTCTAAATGGTAAAATTTTTGAAAATTAGGAAGACTGTTAGAATTCATAGGCGCTCTATGTTAAAAGTTTCAAATTGCAGAATTCTGGAAGATTCCGAGGAACCACGAGATCGTGTCCTAAACACTAAAATTTTCAAAAATTAGGAAAACTACCAAAAGTATCTCGTTAACTCCGTGTCGAGGCCTCCGAATCGTAAAATTTTTGAAGATCCTCAGAAGCTCGTGGACAGTTTATCGAGAGGTGACTACCGTTTCATTGGCAATTTTCTAGTCAGAGCGCAGCTCAACGTACCGTGGCGGCAATTTCTCACCGATTACGATCATACAGTGTACGCAATACCTCCATACCAGCACCGGAACACCGTGTATAATGCCCGGAGCGAGCTTCCCACGAGGGAAACAAGGAGGCTGCGAAGTGTTTTCTCGATGGAACGCCGCTGCGACCCGACCTTTCTCATGGAGGACGGAGAGAGATCTCGAAGTGGAATAGGCGAAGGTCAAGGCGACGTACCCCGCGTGTACGATGGAAAGTATGTCAAAAATCTCGCGCGGCAAGAATCTCCAGAGGTCTATCCGTCTTTATTTCTCTCTCTCTCTCTCTCATTCTCGTTGCTCGCGGGTAATCGAGTGTGTGTGTTGCTGTTTCCAAAGGGGAAGCGGAACCAGTTTTCCTCAGTGGGTCAACGTCTCGCGACCAGCTTCCCCGGCGTCGTCATCGTCGCCATTCAATAGAATCGACGACGAGGCATTGCTAGCTGGGATACAGCTGACACCGAACCAACGGAATCCCGGTTAACCGCTCTAGCTTCCAGTTAATTAAAGCTGATTACTAATTAGACGATTAAGCAACCTCTTACTGAAACGGTTCAGTAGCACCTGGGTCCCGGTAATTGGTAACAGTTATAGAAAGATAAGATGTCGTTTTGTGTGTAATTTTTGTGCACGGAGGTGTAACTAAATAGCGGCTAAGAAGAAGTAGCACGTTATAAAGTCAGGAATCGCTGCTGGTGTGGAATGTTTAGTGAGCTGGGAATATGTTAATCGCTGGTTTTCAGTTGGTTTTTCCTTTAGAAAACAACAATACTCACTCTTTTTGCCACGACTTTCTACAGCGTTGTCGGTGAAGTCTTCGAAGCTACGTCCGGCAGATTCGATGGCGCCAAGGATGTCCGTACCCTTCAGATCGACCTTAACTGTATGAGTCCTGAGGAACCTGCCCAGGCGGTCGAACAACAGTGTGTCCAAATCACTAGACTCTATTGATCTGCAAGAACGCGTCGATCGATTAATGTGTCTGTGTACTAAAGAACAGAATTCACAGAGTCAATCCCGACAAACTTATCTACAATTCAAACTCCTCGAAATTTTCGTGAAAGAAAGAAGAATTGTGAAAATAGAACTGACCTAGGTGCACCTTCCTCGGCGTTCGAAGTCTTGACAACAGTGATCCCATCTGTCAACGTGATATCCTCTTTGTCGGCCAACATCTTGTCCACGTAAGAGAATACCTTGTACTTGATACAATTCATCGACTCCTTCTTCAAACAATCGCTGTAGATGGTGGCCATCAGGTCGTTCTCGGTTCCGGGCTTGTCGTTGGCCGGCAGCGCCGCGGCCAGCACCGGAAGTAGCCACAGAACGGTCACAAAGTACTTGTTGTTGCTCATGTTTCCTCTCTGAACGTCGGAATTTACCAGCTCTCGACAAAATATACGAGACAGAGGGAACGAAAGATGGAAACAAGGGAACAATATCACCACCGTGCTTGTCGAGGAAATGTGAATGAGAAGAATGCGACGTTGTTTATATCCTCTGGAGTATATCACGCGGCGTTTCAATCTGTCGTATTTTTCCCGTAGCACGTCGAGAGAAGACAAGACGCCAGGATGAGCGTCGATCGAACCTCGTGTGTTACATCCAAAAGAGGTTGCTTTGCTTTTATACCGAAGTATCGCACGAGGGGAGACCTCGTGGCCACGGGCCACCGAGAGTTCGCGTTCGCTTCTTCTCCTCACTCTCTTTCTCTCTCTCTTGGCTCGCTATGTCCTCCCCCCTATGTCCTCATCGGCTCGATGTCCCCTCTCCGCGAGTTCCGAGTCCTCCGGAGGCCTCTCTACGAGGCCCTCCTTCCCCCTTTTTAGCCGTCATCCCTCTCCTTTCACGAATCGCGTTATTTTGACAGAGAAAAAAAGCACACACGAGCACGCACGGTAGAATGATATCCTGTTGCGAAGTTGGAAGAAGTACCGCAGGAAAAAGCACCAAGTTGGAGTATGAAAAATAGGATAGGGAACATGCACTTGCGTTTTCTTTCCTCTGTCCCCCATCGCGGTTCCTCGTTTCCTTCTTCGTCGCTCGCCTGCAGCAGACCTACTTCGGCCTCCATTAAGGTCCGCAAGCAACGGTTGGTAGGGAGGACGTTTCCCCCCTCGCGTCGTCCAACGGAGATTCAACGAGGGAAATCTACTACGCGACGGTGGAGGTCGTGGGGAACATCGTCTCCCTTGTGATTTCTCGCACGACTTCACGTGTCTCTCTCTCCGAGTGCGCGCGCGCGCGAAGCTTCTGCTATTATTACGCCGTGCACCGTGCATCCAGTCCCTTTTTGCATTCGATAGAGCAGACGATCGTAAATAGCCAGGTGACAGTCGAGCTGACAAGGACATTTCTCCTTTGAACGATGTCCATTGTGATTTTCTCTCGATCCGGGGAAAGGGGTGCATCGGGATATTTGATAACCTATTTGCCAGTAACGCTGCAAGTTTCACCTGTTCGCCAAGGATCGGCGAATTGTACGGACGTGGTTTAGAGAATTTTTTTCGCGATGCCTAGATACCGGTCTTGATTACAGTTATACGAGACTTAATGTCGCTGGAATCTCTTCCCGAGCAAGGTGCTGTTTCGAGATATTCTCAACGGTCGAGATTACATTAGACTTTCGACACGAATTTAAAATTTCTCCGACTAGCATGTGACGAATCGTTTCTAAAACGAAATTAATTATTCTCGTAAAAGTGTTGGCCAGGTTTTATTTATTACCGTGTAGTCGGTAACTAATTCAAATTGGCCGTTCTCCAAGTTCTCCAAAGCAACGAGAAGGAACCTCCTTTCCCCTAAGAGAACACCAGTAACGCTATAGGATGGTTAATTGTCGCAGTATAATACGAAGCAGCGAAAAATTCATCGACCGATGATGGACGCGAGATATTATCTCGGGAACGGGGTCGCTCACCCATTTACAACTGGGTCGAGTGCCGGGCGTTCATTTCGGCTGCTTCTCTTCTCTCTCTCTCTTTTTATCTTCCTCGTTTCACGAACACCTGTCTTCATCTCGCCTCTTCGTCTCTCTCCCTCTCTGTGAAAGACGTTCTCCATTCGTTTCAGCCGGTTTCGGGGATCAAGATCGGCGGCCGGTCCTCGAGAGCGAACGTCGCCCCGAGCGAAATCATCCACCTGACGCCGCAGCGCGCTCCCGTACCTTTACCTGGCGAACGCACGCGTGCACGTGAACAAAAGCGAACGCGCATCACGAGCGATTCGTGGTTGGCCACTCCGAGAAGAAGGATCGGTGAAACAGGGAGGAGAATCGACGGTTTTCTCGCGGAGGATGTCGCGGTATCGGGGACGTTATGGTTAGAGAACGCTGGAATCAAAGGTTAAGAGCTCGTGCGAGAGAAGGCAGCATACTTTCGGTCG